GAGGATCAAATAGGTGTTATCCACTCTCATCCAAGAAAACCTGCTTTTCAGTAAAGAAAGAGGATAGCTGTGAGTCGCCGAGCGTATGAGCGTCTCCCACCATTGATTCTATAAAAATATGTGAAGTCCTTGTATGGATAATCATCAAAATCTAGGTCCACATTGAAGCAGAGTGGTTCTCTCCTCTCCGTTCATCTGTGATTGACAAGGGCGGTGGACTCTCATGTGCCTTAAGCATTTTGGTGTGTAGCGCTTTCCAATGGCATTTGTGAAGACTGCTGCAACCACTGCAATGTTAGTCATGACCTGAAATTCCGGTAGCTTATTTACAGAATCCTACATGACCAGGTAACATCACATGTTGCAAAACCTGTCTAATGATTTTTGATGATGAGTCAATATATAATGGATTATGTTTAATATAATGAACTTACATCTCTCAGGTACTATAGAGGCTTGTCAACAAAGCTGCAGTAAAAATACAGGGAGTGCAGAATTATTAGGCAAGTTGTATTTTTGAGGATTAATTTTATTATTGAACAACAACCATGTTCCAATGAACCCAAAAAACTCATTAATATCAAAGCTGAATATTTTTGGAAGTAGTTTTTAGTTTGTTTTTAGTTAAAGCTATGTTAGGGGGATATCTGTGTGTGCAGGTGACTATTACTGTGCATAATTATTAGGCAACTTAACAAAAAACAAATATATACCCATTTCAATTATTTATTATTACCAGTGAAACCAATATAACATCTCAACATTCACAAATATACATTTCTGACATTCAAAAACAAAACAAAAACAAATCAGTGACCAATATAGCCACCTTTCTTTGCAAGGACACTCAAAAGCCTGCCATCCATGGATTCTGTCAGTGTTTTGATCTGTTCACCATCAACATTGCGTGCAGCAGCAACCACAGCCTCCCAGACACTGTTCAGAGAGGTGTACTGTTTTCCCTCCTTGTAAATCTCACATTTGATGATGGACCACAGGTTCTCAATGGGGTTCAGATCAGGTGAACAAGGAGGCCATGTCATTAGATTTTCTTCTTTTATACCCTTTCTTGCCAGCCACGCTGTGGAGTACTTGGACGCGTGTGATGGAGCATTGTCCTGCATGAAAATCATGTTTTTCTTGAAGGATGCAGACTTCTTCCTGTACCACTGCTTGAAGAAGGTGTCTTCCAGGAACTGGCAGTAGGACTGGGAGTTGAGCTTGACTCCATCCTCAACCCGAAAAGGCCCCACAAGCTCATCTTTGATGATACCAGCCCAAACCAGTACTCCACCTCCACCTTGCTGGCGTCTGAGTCGGACTGGAGCTCTCTGCCCTTTACCAATCCAGCCACGGGCCCATCCATCTGGCCCATCAAGACTCACTCTCATTTCATCAGTCCATAAAACCTTAGAAAAATCAGTCTTGAGATATTTCTTGGCCCAGTCTTGGCGTTTCAGCTTGTGTGTCTTGTTCAGTGGTGGTCGTCTTTCAGCCTTTCTTACCTTGGCCATGTCTCTGAGTATTGCACACCTTGTGCTTTTGGGCACTCCAGTGATGTTGCAGCTCTGAAATATGGCCAAACTGGTGGCAAGTGGCATCGTGGCAGCTGCACGCTTGACTTTTCTCAGTTCATGGGCAGTTATTTTGCGCCTTGGTTTTTCCACACGCTTCTTGCGACCCTGTTGACTATTTTGAATGAAACGCTTGATTGTTCGATGATCACGCTTCAGAAGCTTTGCAATTTTAAGAGTGCTGCATCCCTCTGCAAGATATCTCACTATTTTTGACTTTTCTGAGCCTGTCAAGTCCTTCTTTTGACCCATTTTGCCAAAGGAAAGGAAGTTGCCTAATAATTATACACACCTGATATAGGGTGTTGATGTCATTAGACCACACCCCTTCTCATTACAGAGATGCACATCACCTAATATGCTTAATTTGTAGTAGGCTTTCGAGCCTATACAGCTTGGAGTAAGACAACATGCATAAAGAGGATGATGTGGTCAAAATACTCATTTGCCTAATAATTCTGCACTCCCTGTAGGACAAGTGAAAGGAGAACAGAGGGAAGAGTCACACTAAGCTGGAGTGATGGACAGTAGGGTAGGGCACACTAAAAATAAGGCAAACAAATGATAAAGGAGAAAACACTGTTCTAATACATCATGTTCAAATGTAATCACATCAAGTCCTTGACACCATCACATCAGAAGAACTGTCTCACTATCTTCAGAGACTGGTTGCATCTATCCTTCCACCAAATCAAGCTAAGAAACTGAGCTTTGATTGGGGGTACTGCTTTCCAAAGCCCAGGCAGAGCATTGCCAATGTGTTATGAGATGTAGTTGCCAGATTCCCATCCTCCCACACCAAAGTTCTCATCATGTCTGTCCTACGGGGCAAAACCCCATACATCTTCAAAGATGTTTTCTTCACTTTTTACCAGGACCTCACTAGGTCTACACTACAATGGCACAGAGCTTTAATTTCTGTCCACAAGACAGCTGCAGTCAGTGGGTCTGGAATATCGCTGGGGTGCAACTATATCCCTCAGAGTCAGCAAAGACGGGAATGTCTGTAAACTGACATCAGCATCAAAAGTCACCACTTTCTTCAATGTGCTAGATCTCCATGGCCCTGACACAGAGATAGCCACACAAACCGCAACCCATACATGGGATCCTGCCGTCGTAAGGCCATTTGTCCCGAGAGGGGATGGGGAGGCCCAGGGAGGAACCTGGCTAGGGTTACGGACAAGGATGTTCAAAATGTTGATGTTCACCACATCTTATGCCATGTTACTTGACCTGACTACTACTTTATTTTTGTTTCGTTAAATCTCTACTTTACTTTTTTTATTTCTCAGGTTATCTTGTGTGGCACTCCTGAGAATGTCTTGGGGATGAGGGCTCAATACCTCGTCATATAATGAATATTCCAGCCTCTCCGTGATCACTATCACTTATGAAGTTTCATATAAGATGGCGCCAGTGGACAATGATACGAAGAGGTTATAGTGTCAGGAGTGTTCCTTTAAAGGGCCCCTTATGCTTATTTAGATTTGGGTATGACGTCTGAAGCACGATGTCTGTCTAGATTCATATGAATGTCAAGCTGGGAACTCTGGGATAGTTGTGGAAACATGAGTTCTCGAGATTCCATGTCCAAAAATTACTACCTAAAATCCATCTTCAGATGTGAAGCAGATGCATAAAGGTATTTTTTGTATTTAGGTTCAACAATATACTACATTCTATGCACGCACAATGGGTGTTAATGAAGCGTGTAAACATAATTAAACATTAACTGCATAGGTTAAAAAAAAAGTGACACTATGTAGTCAAAACAGCAAGAGAGAAAGTGATAGTTTAAGGGGTGTGTTAGAGATGGGTGTGAAACTGACTAGCTTTTAACAGGGTCATTAAGGAATTAGAGAGCTGGCATCTGTTAACTGGATTGTCTCTGAGATAATCACAGAGGAGATACCTGTCAGGCAAGAACTAGATTCTAATAATTGGATGAGAGAGGTGGGGAGTGGATAGAGCATAAAACTAAATGGAGAGGGATAGCGGATGGTAACTGCATTCAGTGACTCAGATAGATACAAAATACACTCTATTTACTACAATATCAGAGGTTTACAGGTTGAAAGAACAAAAGTGAATATTGAATTCTGAATAATGGAGTATTTTATTTTCGATTACCAACATTTTTATTGAGGCACGCAAGATAGATATACATGTACTGTACAAGCACAATCATGTCTGGCACTGTTAATCTATATCCTTTATTTCCTGTTATAAGTATTCAGGTATAAACAATTAAAACATTTCAAAACTCCCCTTCCTATGAAACCACACATTTTTGCAGTGAGGTCATTTTATAAGGCAATAAGAGTTTGTCTCAACAACAAACTGCAAAGGATGAACTTTTTTTTTTTTTCTTTGTGAATTCTAGGATTGCAAGATCAGTGAATCACAGTCATGTGCGTGCCGAATATTGTGGTTTAATTATGGAATGCTAGGTCCAGTTTAGAAAAGATCCAGGGTCTTATTTATACTTCTAAGAGCATACCAAGATGTGTCCAAAGACCACTATTTTGCTAGCTGCTGCTTAATTCTGCCTTCACTCTGAATTCAACTCCTGCCAGATCAAATCAATTAATTAATACAGGTTGGCTATCCCATAGGATCCACTGAAATTGATTATTTTCTCTGGGCAGCATGTGAGTGCTACAGACTTATGGACATGTGGGACTGATTAGCTGTTTAGGAAGGAACACCTGGCCAAGATGTTAAGTCTCAGCACATCTCATACCTTCTAATATAAACCTTTGAGTTATGTCTTGTTTACCGATAAATTTAGTAAATGTAGATATGTACAGTCACAATGTTATTTACAAAAGTGTGAATTAGCAGGAATTCAAATTGTGTTCAATGTGTTGGAAGCTGGTGAAGGTTTTGGATGGTTGGACATTAGACCAAACCCTCTGAGTCTGGCCTCACTCCTATTCTTGTAAACCAATCCTAATTCTTGTAAACTGCCCTTCTTTGGGTGCTGCCCCAAGATCCTTTATGGAAGGGCCTCTGTTTATGATGCTTTTGAGTGAAAATAGAATGTTGACTGGTACCTCTCTACTAAGTGCAGTCTACAGAATGCCACCAGTCTAACACCACAAAGAATATGTGATGTGACAAATGGGCTTCTTAAAAGAAGTAAAAATATATATCTTGCACGCCGGTTACTGGTATTAGTGCCCGGTGCTTGTCAGCATTAACAGATCCAAATAGGTAAAGAGAGCACTCCAAGGACTTCAGGATAATGAAATGTGATCCTGATGAAAGTTTGGAGTGCAAACTAAAACGTAGATCTTTTAGAGTTAATATTTCATTATCCTGAAGTCCTTGGAGTGCTATCTGTACCTATTTGGATATTTAGAGAAAATAACTAATGTAATTTTATTAAATTACTTTATTCATGCTATCTTACATTTGATTAAAAAAAATAAGAAAAGATAAATAGAAACATGACTAGGAGGATGGATGGTAATGTAGATACAAAAAGTATATGGAGTGAGCGAAAGCCTGCCAGGATAGAAAGGATAGTTTTTGCGAAGCAGGACAGAAGGTGTGAAAGGGGCATGCAGGGCTAATGAGCGATTGAGAGGAATAGACAGATGACTGCAGGATTATTCTCTGGTTAATCTGATTTTCTCTCCACCTCGCTCTCTCTCTGCTCCCTTCTCCTGCACCGAAAACGTCTGGATCTCTGTTCATCGCTAACCCTAGGTCCCACCCCTGCTGGGGTAACAAAAAGGGGTTCCTGGCTCCCTTTTCCTTGCCCTTCCAGTCAGGATGGTTCTCATGAAGGCCAAACTCACTTTCCAAAAACGTGTAAAGCTTGCACAAACCCTATGGCTACTCTCCTGGCTCAGCGTTTTGGTAGGTTGCCTAACCTTTGGAATGGGGATCTTCCTAAAGGTGCAACTTTGGATACACAATGAAGTGATGGATAACACAGCAGCACACGCTGTCCCCAATACAGTAATAACAGCTGGCCTGGTAGCTATCCTGCTCAGTCTCTTTGTGGGAAAAATCAGCCAGGACTCACTGGATATGACCAAGTACCCACGCTGGAAGCCCTTCATGACTGCCTATTTCATTATCGCTGTCCTGAGCTGCTCAGTCTGTTTAGCTGCTCTAGTTCTTAGTGTGGCAATGAGAGGAAGCCTAGAGGAGTCACTGAAGATTGGGCTTCGGAATGGTATAAGATTCTATAAGGACACAGACACCCCTGGCCGTTGCTACCAGAAGCGGACCATAGACAAGCTACAAATGGACTTCCAGTGCTGTGGGAACAACCATTACAAGGATTGGTTCGAGGTACAGTGGATCAGCAATCGATACCTGGATTTTAGCTCCAAGGAAGTGAAAGAGTGAGTCCCGATTTCACTATGCAAACAAGCTATATAATGTTTCTCCTAATAGGAGAAAAAAAAATGAATGTACGAATAAGTATATGATAAAAAAAATTAACCCCTTAAGGACACATGACATGTGTGACATGTCATGATTCCCTTTTATTCCAGAAGTATAAAAATATGACTGGGGATTTATTCACTAAATAGGACGTTGTGGTGAGTAAACCTCTAATTTTGTAAAATGTAGGACAAAATAGGAAAAATTATCGTACTCTGAATTTGGCCTCACGTTTGCATCATAGTTAATAACTGTTTAAAAATAACAATTATAATAATTTGAAAGAAAATAACAACCCTATGATTAAACGTGAAATTTGAAAACCCTTTGAGATTGGAATGTTAAAATCTGTCTTTTGAAATTAAAGTTTTAAACCATGCTGTATACCAGATGGTATGCAGCAATGGGATTGTATACAAAGAATCATATGTCATATTGGTTCCATGTACTTCTCTTCATTCTGGTGTTCAAAGCATTCGAAAGTATGCTGGTAATCATAAAATAAGCACCTAAAACATAACATATGTGATTACTTTAGATAATGTCAGGCATGTGTTGTTTACTAAAGTAGGGAGGGTCTACTGTCCTTTATATTCTTCAGGAGGCAGCAATATAGTATTTGCAGAGGGAATACTGTAGAATATATGTTAAAGGAAAAACTGGATATACATGTTCAAGGAAAATAAAAGATATACATTTGATATAACTTTGCTACATATTATTGTGAAATTAATACATTTACATTAAAATGACTCTATAGGCACCCAGCTGATTCAAGTAGTCTGGACACTCTATCCCTGTCCCCTTAACCCTGCAGTGTTAATTATTGCAGTTTCTGAGAAACTGCAATAATTACATTGCAGGGTTAAGACTGCTTCTAGTGGCTGTCAATCAGAGAGCCAGTAGAGCCACTTCCTGGTGGTTAGGTGACTTTTAGTCACCTAACTAACGCTGGATGTCCTCACGATCTGCATGAGGCCATGCAGCGTCAGTCAAATCCCCATAGGGAAACATTGCAGCAATGGGAAGGGCCTAATGCACTTTTGGCGCTTGCACATTAGTGCCCCCAGCATCAAGGGAGATCAGCACTGTAATCAGGTTAGTGCAGTAAGGGTTATTAACCCTTACACTGATAAGAAGGGGGTTAAATATAGTGCTAGTAATACAGGTTTGCTATGTGGGGGCTGCCCAGCGGCGTCGCTAAGGGGGGCCAGAGGGGGCCATGGCCCCCCTTACATCATGCTGTGCCCCCCTTGGGCCCCCCAAATGCCAGCAACATGTTCTTACATTCTATGTGAAGCCCCACCTCCCACACATAAGCCCCGCCCTGCCGTTAAGCAGCAGACCATGCTGCTGCTGGAAAGGCAAGAAGATGGCTGTCTGACCCCAGCAACAGGTAGGCTTGATATGCTCAGGTGTGTGTGTGTGTCTGTGTGTGTCTGTCTATCTGCTAGTGAGGAAGCTTGTGTGTGTCTGTGTGTGTGTGTGTATGGACTCAGCAGTCTGTCTGTGTGTATGGACTTAGCACTGTGTATGTATGGACTCAGCAGTCTGTATGTGTGTATGGACTCAGCACTGTGTGTGTATGGACTCAGCAGTCTGTATGTGTGTATCAACTCAGCAGTGTGTGTGTATGGACTCAGCAGTCTGTCTGTGTGTATGGACTCAGCACTGTGTGTGTATGGACTCAGCACTGTATGTGCATGGACTCAGCAGTCTGTATGTGTGTATGAACTCAGCAGTGTGTGTGTGTATGAACTCAGCAGTGTATGTGTATGGACCCAGCAGTCTGTCTGTGTGTATGGACTCAGCACTGTGTGTGTATGGACTCAACTTGAGGGTAATGTGTATGGACCAACAGTCTGTCTGTGTATTATGGACTCAGCACTGTGTGTATGGATTAGCAGATCTGTATGTGTGTATCAACTCAGCAGTGTGTGTGTATGGACTCAGATGTCTGTCTGTGTATGGACTCAGCTCTGTGTATGGACTCAGCAGTCTGTATGTGTGTATGAACTCAGCAGTGTGTGTGTATGGACTCAGCAGTCTGTCTGTGTGTATGGACTCAGCACTGTGTATGGACTCAGCAGTGTGTTTGTATGGACTCAGCAGTCTATGTGTGTATGGACTCAGCACTGTGTGTATGGACTCATCAGTCTGTATGTGTGTATGAATTCAGCAGTGTCTGTGTATGGACTCAGCAGTCTGTCTGTGTGTATGAACTCAGCACTGTGTGTATATGGACTCAGCAGTCTGTGTGTATGAACTCAGCACTGTGTGTGTATGGACTCAGCAGTGTGTGTGTATGAACTCAGCAGTGTGTGTGTACGAACTCAGCAGTGTGTGTGTATTGACTCCGCAGTCTGTGTGTATGGACTCAGCAGTCTGTGTGTATGGACTCAGCAGTCGGAATGTGTGTATGGACTCAGCAGTCTGTGTGTATGGACTCAGCAGTCTGTGTGTATGGACTCAGCAGTGTGTGTGTATGGACTCAGCAGTCTGTGTGTATGGACTCAGCAGTCTGTGTGTATGGACTCAGCAGTCTATCTGTGTGTATGGACTTAGCAGTCTGTTTGTGTGTATGGACTCAGCAGTCTGTATGTGTGTATGGACTCAGCAGTCTGTGTGTATGGACTCACCAGTCTATCTGTGTGTATGGACTTAGCAGTCTGTAAGTGTGTATGGACTCAGCAGTCTGTATATGTGTATGAACTCAGCAGTGTGTGTGAATGGACTCAGCAGTCTGTCTGTGTGTATGGACTCAGCAGTCTGTATGTGTGTATGGACTCAGCAGTATGTGTGTATGGACTCAGCAGTGTGTGTGTGTGTGTGTGTGTGTGTGTGGACTCAGCAGTCTCTGTGTGTGTGTAAAGACTCAGCAGTGTGTGTGTATGGACTCAGCAGTGTGTGTGTATGGACTCAGCAGTCTGTGTGTGTGTGTGTGTGTGTGTGTATGTTGACTCAACAGTCTGTGTGTGTGTTTGGACTCAGCAGTCTCTCTGTGTGTATGGACTCAGCAGTCTGTATGTGTGTGTATATGGACTCAGCAGTCTGTCTGTGTGTGTATGGACTCAGCAGTCTGTCTGTGTGTATGGACTCAGCAGTCTGTGTGTATGGACTCAGCAGTCTGAATGTGTGTATGGGCTCAGCAGTGTGTGTGTATGGACTCAGCAGTCTGTATGTGTGTATGGACTCCGCAGTGTATGTGAATGGACTCAGCAGTCTGTCTATGTGTATGGACTCGGCAGTCTATCTGTGTGTATGGACTTAGCAGTTTGTATGTGTGTATGGACTAAGCAGTCTGTATGTGTGTATGAACTCAGCAGTGTGTGTGAATGGACTCAGCAGTCTGTCTGTGTGTATGGACTCAGCAGTCTATATGTGTGTATGGACTCAGCAGTCTGTATGTGTGTATGGATTCAGCAGTCTGTGTGTATGGACTCAGCAGTCTGTGTGTGTGTATGAACTCAGCACTGTGTGTATATGGACTCAGCAGTCTGTCTGTGTGTATGAACTCAGCACTGTGTGTGTATGTACTCAGCAGGGTGTGTGTACGAACTCAGCAGTGTGTGTGTATTGACTCAGCAGTCTGTGTGTATGGACTCAGCAGTCTGTGTGTATGGACTCAGCAGTCGGAATGTGTGTATGGACTCAGCAGTGTGTGTGTATGGACTCAGCAGTCTGTGTGTATGGACTCAGCAGTATATGTGTATGGACTCAGCAGTCTGTGTGTATGGACTCAGCAGTCTATCTGTGTGTATGGACAACCCCTGTTTGTGTATGGACTCAATTGTGGTCTGTATGTGTGTGGGCTCAGCGGTGTGTGTGTATGGACTCAGCGGTCTGTATGTGTGTATGGACTCATGGTGTATGTAGATGGACTCAGCAGTCTGTGTGTATGGACTGTAGTCTGTCTATGTGTATGGACTCGGCAGTCTATCTGTGTGTATGGACTTGCTTGGTTGTATGTGTGTATGGACTAAGCAGTCTGTATGTGTGTATGGACTCATCAGTCTGTATGTGTGTATGAATTCAGCAGTGTCTGTGTATGGACTCAGCAGTCTGTCTGTGTGTATGAACTCAGCACTGTGTGTATATGGACTCAGCAGTCTGTGTGTATGAACTCAGCACTGTGTGTGTATGGACTCAGCAGTGTGTGTATATGGACTCAGCAGTCTGTGTGTACGAACTCAGCACTGTGTGTGTATGGACTCAGCAGTGTGTGTGTATGAACTCAGCAGTGTGTGTGTACGAACTCAGCAGTGTGTGTGTATTGACTCAGCAGTCTGTGTGTATGGACTCAGCAGTCTGTGTGTATGGACTCAGCAGTCGGAATGTGTGTATGGACTCAGCAGTGTGTGTGTATGGACTCAGCAGTCTGTGTGTATGGACTCAGCAATATATGTGTATGGACTCAGCAGTCTGTGTGTATGGACTCAGCAGTCTATCTGTGTGTATTGACTTAGCAGTCTGTTTGTGTGTATGGACTCAGCAGTCTGTATGTGTGTATGGACTCAGCAGTCTGTGTGTATGGACTCACCAGTCTATCTGTGTGTATGGACTTAGCAGTCTGTAAGTGTGTATGGACTCAGCAGTCTGTATATGTGTATGAACTCAGCAGTGTGTGTGAATGGACTCAGCAGTCTGTCTGTGTGTATGGACTCAGCAGTCTGTATGTGTGTATGGACTCAGCAGTATGTGTGTATGGACTCAGCAGTGTGTGTGTGTGTGTGTGTGTGTGTGTGGACTCAGCAGTCTCTGTGTGTGTGTAAAGACTCAGCAGTGTGTGTGTATGGACTCAGCAGTGTGTGTGTATGGACTCAGCAGTCTGTGTGTGTGTGTGTGTGTGTGTGTATGTTGACTCAACAGTCTGTGTGTGTGTTTGGACTCAGCAGTCTCTCTGTGTGTATGGACTCAGCAGTCTGTATGTGTGTGTATATGGACTCAGCAGTCTGTCTGTGTGTGTATGGACTCAGCAGTCTGTCTGTGTGTATGGACTCAGCAGTCTGTGTGTATGGACTCAGCAGTCTGAATGTGTGTATGGGCTCAGCAGTGTGTGTGTATGGACTCAGCAGTCTGTATGTGTGTATGGACTCCGCAGTGTATGTGAATGGACTCAGCAGTCTGTGTGTATGGACTCAGCAGTCTGTCTATGTGTATGGACTCGGCAGTCTATCTGTGTGTATGGACTTAGCAGTTTGTATGTGTGTATGGACTAAGCAGTCTGTATGTGTGTATGAACTCAGCAGTGTGTGTGAATGGACTCAGCAGTCTGTCTGTGTGTATGGACTCAGCAGTCTATATGTGTGTATGGACTCAGCAGTCTGTATGTGTATGGATTCAGCGTGTGTGTGCTTGGACTCAGCAGTCTCTGTGTGTGTGTAAAGACTCAGCAGTGTGTGTGTATGGACTCAGCAGTCTGTGTGTGTGTGTGTGTGTGTGTATGTTGACTCCAGCAGTCTCTGTGTGTGTTTGGACTCAGCAGTCTCTCTCTGTGTGTGTATGGACTCAGCAGTCTGTATGTGTGTGTATATGGACTCAGCAGTCTGTCTGTGTGTATGGACTCAGCAGTCATCTGTGTGTATGGACTCAGCAGTGTGTGTATGGACTCCAGCAGTCTGAATGTGTGTATGGGCTCAGCAGTCTGTGTGTATGGACTCAGCAGTCTGTGTGTATGGACTCAGCAGTTGGAATGTGTGTATGGACTCAGCAGTGTGTGTGTACGAACTCAGCAGTGTGTGTGTATTGACTCAGCAGTCTGTGTGTATGGACTCAGCAGTCTGTGTGTATGGACTCAGCAGTCTGTATGTGTGTATGAACTCAGCAGTGTGTGTGAATGGACTCAGCAGTCTGTCTGTGTGTATGGACTCAGCAGTCTATATGTGTGTATGGACTCAGCAGTCTGTATGTGTGTATGGATTCAGCAGTCTGTGTGTATGGACTCAGCAGTCTGTGTGTATGTGTGTGTGGACTCAGAGGTCTGTGTGTGTGTGTGGACTCAGCAGTGTGTGTGTGTGGACTCAGAGGTCTGTTTGTGTGTATGGACTCAGCAGTGTGTGTGTATGGACTCAGCAGTCTGTGTGTATGTGTGTATGGACTCAGCAGTCTGTGTTTGTGTGTGTGTATGTGTGTATGGACTCAGCAGTCTGTGTGTGTGGACTCAGAGGTCTGTGTGTGTGTATGAACTCAGCAGTGTGCGTGTATGGACTCTTCAGTCTGTGTGTGTGTGTGTGTATGGACTCAGCAGTCTCTGTGTTTGTGTGTATGTTGACTCAACAGTCTGTGTGTGTGTGTGTGTGTTTGGACTCAGCAGTCTCTCTGTGTGTATGGACTCAGCAGTGTGTGTATGAATTCAGCAGTGTGTGTGTATGGACTCAGCAGTCTGTATGTGTGTATGAACTCAGCAGTGTGTGTGTATGGACTCAGCAGTCTGTCTGTGTGTATGGACTCAGCAGTCTGTATGTGTGTATGGACTCAGCAGTCTGTGTGTATGGACTCGGCAGTCTATCTGTGTGTATGGACTTAGCAGTCTGTAAGTGTGTATGGACTCAGCACTGTGTGTGTATGGACTCAGCAGTCTGTATGTGTGTATGACTCAGCAGTGTGTGTATGGACTCAGCACTGTGTGTATGACTCAGCAGTCTGTATGTGTGTATGAACTCAGCAGTGTGTGTGAATGGACTCAGCAGTCTGTGTGTATGGACTCAGCAGTCTGTCTGTGTGTATGGACTCAGCAGTCTGTGTTTGTGTGTGTGTGTGTATGGACTCAGCAGTCTGTGTGTTTGTGTGTATGTGGACTCAGCAGTCTGTGTGTGTGTGTATGGACTCAGCAGTCTGTGTGTGTGTGTGTGTGTATGGACTCAGCAGTCTGTGTCTGTGTGTGTATGGACTCAGCAGTCTGTGTCTGTGTTTGTATGGACTCAGCAGTCTGTGTGTGTGTAAGGACTCAGCAGTCTCTCTGTGTGTGTGTGTGTGTATGGACTCAGCAGTCTGTGTGTGTGTGTGTGTGTATGGACTCAGCAGTCTTTGTGTTTGTGTGTGTATGGACTCAGCAGTCTGTATGAATTCAGCAGTCTGTGTGTATGAATTCAGCAGTCTGTGTATGGACTCAGAAGCCTGTGTGTGTGTGTGTGTGGACTCAGCAGTCTATGTGTCTGTGTTTGTATGGACTCAGCAGTCTGTGTGTCTGTGTGTGTGTGTATGGCCAGCAGTCTGTGTGTCTCTGTGTGTGAGGACTCAGCAGTCTGTGTGTGTGTGTATGGACAGTATCAAGGGAAATGTGTTTGTTTTTTAATAATCCTTGGTGGAAAATAATGAATTCTCCACCAGGGATTATTAAAAAAAAAACAAAAAACACATTGTGTCGGGGATGGGGCTTAACATGCGGCAGGGGCGGGGTCAAATGTGCCCCCCTACTTTAGTCCCTGGCCCACCATGTGCCCCCCTAAAAATGAATCCTAGAGACGCCACTGGGGCTGCCATCTTTAGCCTCTTTTATCATAAGCACAGTATATCTGCTAAGACATAATTTGAAAGTCTGAAACCATCCCAGAGTGCGTTTTTGGGATGCCCAGCGCTTGGGAGGGATATCAGGTTTTGGTTGGTTAAACAGAGCTTCTAACCAAAGAGGACTTATGTTGCTTGCCACATAGAGAAACGGTAAGCCTTTAGATGCACTAAAATTAGGTCTTTATTTCTATATAAACAATATAAAATAATACACGCAGAGGGTATAATACATTATTTTATGTTAAAGGAACACTATAGTACACATTTGTATTCCTGACCCTATAGTGCTAAAAAAAACTATTAAGCCCCTTTTCCCCCTTTAAATATAGTAAAAACTCACCTTATTTCCAGCGCAAGCTCCGTCCTTCAGAAAAGAGCATCCAATCATTTTCCCATAGAAAATCATTGGATTGGCTCAAATAGTCAATTCTGATGAACTCTCAGCCAAGGAAGTGGGGTGGGGTCAGAGCCAAATGCCATGCTGGCCATTCAGTATCTCCTCATAGAGATGAATTGAATCAAAACATCTCTATGGGGAAAGTTAAACATCTCCATGCATCTCTAATGGCTGCCTGTGGAGTGGCCACTAGAGGTGTTTCTAGGCTGTAGTGTAAACACTGCTTCTTCTCTAAATGAGCTGTAGTTGTCCTGGTGAGTGCAGTGTCCCTTTAACTCTCAGTGATACTCAGTTCTTTTTTTTTCTCACTGATGGTGTGCCAGGCTCACCCTACCGAGCTACAATGATGACATCATATATCACCTACTACTGTCTGAAAGTGGCAAGAGATACGCTGTTTTAAAACAGCATTGTCTAGTTTCAGGGCTGGTGGAAACTAAAATTATTGCCAAAAATGTGCTTATGTTGGGGGAGAGTCTACTCTACACAGTACTAGCCAGAGAAGGTGACATCAGTAGGCATGGTATCCATCTAATGTGATCGCAAATATTTATACAAAAATGTTCATAGTGTGTATAATATTAATTAAAAATTGTTCTATTTTCTTATCTCTAAATTAAACAATTCTGTGAAAGCTTAAACATCTCGAAGGAACGCTTTTATAACTGTATTGTTTTGTTTATATAAAAGTTAATCCCCCTTTTAAGTACATATTTGCTTGGAAACACCATATGTCTCAAGATCATGGACGATTTGAACAGCTGACGCAGCACAGAGCACATTTTATGAGATTGCGCTGTAGGTCTTGATTGTCTGCATGGTCAAGTGGTTCTTCTGACCAAAGAAACTTAAAAATGGACATTTCTACAGAGCAATGGTAGATCTGGATATGGAATGCACTGAATGATATTAAATTATATATTGATAAGTTTATCAATATACACAGAGAAGATATAATACATCTAAAATTTAAATCACTTTACTTTAAATCTTGTACTTTTAATAAATACTGGTGATAGTTTTCTTTAATTTAACGCTATTGCATTTTCTGAGAAAACCCAATATTGTTCATTTTCATGCACTGAAACTTTACAGAGCCATCATTTAGCTTTGCTGTAGAACTAGAGCTTTGTTGACATTTTAATAGCCACATCTGGTAAAACATTAATGTCCATGAAGTTCTACAGACTATAGAGAGCTAACTGTTGGCTACACCTGTAGGAAAAACATATTAGCATTTTGGTTTTCTTCCTGAACCTTGCAATTCATCTTCACTTTTCTTCTTTCTCTTTGTCGTTCAATCTGTAGCCGTATTAAAAGTAATGTAGATGGCCGGTACCTTATGGATAGTGTTCCATTCAGCTGTTGCAATCCAAGCTCTCCTCGGCCCTGCATACAGGTCCAGATTACCAATAACTCGGCCCATTACAGCTACAGCTACCAGACGGATGAACTAAACATCTGGGTGAGGGGTTGCAGAGAAGCACTGCTGAATTACTACACAGGAATCATGGCAACCAATAGTGCAGCTGTCTCCATGTCTTTAATTCTGCAGGTGAGTGATGTCACTAGTGTTGCATAAATTAAACACATTTCTGGAAACCCCACAGTCACCTGAGCTGTGTCCTCACATGATGGCCCAAGCCCATGGTCCTTCAAACAGATCTTGAAAATTTAATCTCTCTTACGTAGGTAATTTACTGGTCTATGATGACTGTAGTTCCTAGGTGGTTTATTTAAATAACTCCCACTAATTTTAGAGTGTTTTTTAATTATATGGAGAAGATGTATAACATAAACTATTTGACAGACAAAATAAATGTTGACAGATACAAGAGATGAAGTGGGGCCTGCTCAAAAGAAATTACAATGTTCCACCAGCCTTAAATGGACACTATAATCACCAAAACAACCTTAATGAAACAATTTTTATTTATAAATCATGTCACTGTATTCTCACTGCTCAATTATCTTGCATTTAGACGTTAAATCACTTTGTTTATCCATCCCTAGTTACTCCTCCCTGCATGTGACTCACACAGCCTCCCTAAACACTTCCTGTAAAGAGAGATCTAATGTTTACACATTCTGTTTAATTTAGAATGTATTATCTTTTGCTATGTTATTAACCTTCTAGAGCCTGCAGGAGCCACCTATGTGTGATTTAAGTTCAATTTACAGGGCAGGATATAAAAACCTCTACAGCATTTGATTGAAAATGAAACCATTAATTATGTAGGTGGTGTCAGTCACAGTCAGTTGAGATGTTGCTAGTGCTGTGTAAACAGAAAAAAAAGTGATTTTAATTGCTAAATGACAGATAATTGAGCAGTGAGACTGCAGGGGCAAGAGCTGTTGTTTTGTACACTCTAGTGTCCCTTAAAGGATTGGTAGAGCACAGTGATGGCTGGTAAAGTTTAAAGGCGATGGGGCACTGCCACCCATCCATGAGAAACCAGCCATATCACCAGTCATCAATAAAGGGGTAAAGGAAACTGCAGATATAATCATGGCATAGTCATGTCTTTTCTAACACACACTTATCAGTAGTCCTTGCCTTTAGCCTAAGTCTTGTGACACTCATAAACTTACCTGCATATATCATGGGCAACAATGCAGGTAAAGTCATAGTGATTTTACTTTCCCGATACTACAATTTTCAATATATTGTACACATCAAACTCTTCCTCCAATAAATAAAATTCATAATAACATCTACATCAATCTCATCTCTGTATGTATTACTGTTATCTGTCATCCCCAATACCATCATCTCATTTTCCTTAATCACCTCTAAGCTTGCCTTTCCCACGCCCATAGTCTGAATTTACTCGGTGACTACAACATCCCTTTATCATCTCTAAAATCTCAACATTTTTCTTTATCACATGCTCATTTGGTCTTTTTGCTTATCTATGCTCAACAACTTACGTCTTTATGTGCCCGTCACCAATCTTCATAAAACCAACCCAACACCTCCTAGAATAAAACTGAACTTTATCAGTCTGTGACAATACTTACTGGTCTACAGTTTGTCTCATCCATATTAAAGAGAATCTACAGTGCCGGGAAAACAAAGTCACACTAGTGACGGCTGGTCAAACTGACAAAATTTGAGAGCGGTAGCTCCTCCTTTTGTTAAGTTTTGTCAAACGTAAGGAATATCCTAAAACGAAATAGTCCTTACTTTGTCTTAGTATATCTTTTAACTGCGTTGGAATTTTCAGGGAAATTCCAACACAGTCAATGTGAGTGTTTCGTAAAGCTTTTATCTTTATGAAATACTCATTTTGGAGGGAGTGGAAGATGACAGAGCTGCTTTAACTCACATCCTCAATCTCTCTTTATCTCTCCCCTTTGATATTTTCCCAGCTGTCCTCAAACATTTAAATATTACTTCCATGCTGTCCTAACATTCCTGGAATGAGGAAAGAGAATACAAATTTGTATAGAGCCTTTGTCAACCCAACAGCTCTAGCTACCATCCCCTATTTTACTGCCTTTAACCACCAAGTGTTTTGTATATAAATTACTGTCTAACTTTCTTGATTTGTACTTCTCAAAACTTCCTGTCACTGAACTTTGCTCTAAGAAATGTGACGCCAATTTCATCAATGTAAAATATAAAAATCATGACTATTTATTAATCTGTTGCTGCTTTCTACACTGCTAACCAGTTCATTCTCTACCTTACCAACCTTGATCTTTATGACATATTTTTCCTCATCTTTTCCCCAAAGCATCCCCTTTTTATTTTTACTTTAAACCATAGGCGTGCGCACAGGGTGTGCCTGGGCACACCCTTATCCCCGCGGCACGCCTATGGAGTGAGACCGGCAGGGAAGATCTTAGGATCCGAGTGCCGGCTCTGCTCTAAGCCTCCCCTCACCGACCCACAGGCAGGGAGGGAGGCAGGAGACGACCCGGGGAGCTCTTGCCAGCAGCTCCACCAGGTTCCTCTCGCGAGATCTGAGCGTTACCGTGGCAACGCTCAGATCTCGCGAGAGTGAACTCTAGAACCACAGGCTAGAGTTCACTCTCCACTGGACCACCAGGGAAGGATGGCAGCAGGAATAAGGATCCCCCCTTCCAGGCATAAGGTAAGAAGGGAGGGGGGATATTAACTGATCTGCCCCCACCTCCACTGTACCACCAGGGAAGGCAGGAAGGAAGGATGCCCCCTCCCTACATAAGGTAAGAAGGGAGGGGGGATATTTATGAACTAATCTGCCCCCACCTCCACCCCCACAAATCACCCAAACATACAGCACACAAACAGCACACACACACATACAGCACGCACACATACAGCACACACACACACAGCACCCACACACATACAGCAAACAAACAGCACCCACACACACACAGCATCCTCACACATACAGCACCCACACGCACACAGCACCCACACATACAGCACCCTCACACACAGCACCCTCACACAGCACACTAACAGCACCCTCACAAACACAAGCAGCACCCTCATACACACACAGCACACAAACAGCACCCTCACACACACAGCACCCTCACACAGCACACTAACAGGACCCTAACAAACACACACACAGCACACTACCAGTACCCTCACGCACAAACAGCACTCACAAACGCTCACACACACACAAACAGCACCCTCACACACAGTACATTAACAGCACCCTCACAAGCACCCTCACAAGCGCACACACACACACACACAAACACCCTCACCCTCATAGCACACTACCAGCACCCTCACACACACATCACACTAACAGCTCCCTCACACAGCACACACACACACACACACAGCAGTGTATGTGTGTGTGTGTGTGTGTGTGTATATATATATATATATATATATATACGCAGCGTGTGCTTGTGCAATAGTATGGTATGTCTTTTAGTAGCTGTACCTTTTTGAATGAAAGCAGCACCAATATGTTATGTCGCTTAAACTTTCCCTGATCTCTCTCCTTCTCTCCTGGCTCTTGACACTTAAAGAGACCCTCCAGGAACCAATACAACTTTAATGCATTTGGTAGATTTTGGCCTAATTAATATGCTGTATTGTTTGCATTCTCAAATCTTTTTCGTTTTTGCAAAAACAAAAAAATGTTTTGCAGAATGCTGCACCATAAGTCTGCATCTATAGCCAGATAAAATCAATTGTATGCTCTTGCCACCTGGAGGGACCTAGGGCTACAAAGCCCTACATTTTGGGCTTTAGCCCCTAAAGCCACCCCTAACTATGCCTATACTGATTACAATCCATAGCATGTGTGTTAGTCAGACTTACAGCAGTCTATTCCATCTCACCTGGCACAGCTAGTTCCTGACGCAGTTTGTTTCAATCTTATTTCACAGCTCCTTCTCACGTTTCATAATTTTTATATATTTATATTATTTATGCATAGAGATACTGCACACCTTCTTAGAATATTTTACTAACGGATTGACTATTTACCCCTGGAAGGTGCCAGAGCATTCCTGGCATCAAAACTACTATAGCGGGCTGTAGTGGTTATGGTGCTTGGAGTTTTCCTTTAATACACCTGTAATTCTGTCTTTCATTAGTAATGCCCTCTTCAGCCAGGAAATGAATGATCACATGGACACAATTATTCTTTTCAGTTAATATAACTCCGTAACTGCGTTTCTTGATCCATGTACTCTATATTTTAAAGAGAGCTACATGACTTCTGTAAATACAGTGTTACAGCAAGGATTTCTTCCTAGGAATGTAGGAGGAAGTGGGTTTGAAGCTAATGTATAGCAGGTATTTTTTGTTTTCTTTTTTTACAACAAACGCAGGATATTTTTTTGCCAGACCATAGGCCCTTATTAAATGCTTGTAACAGGAAATCTATAATTATTAGTGTTAATAGCACTTTATTTGCTCATGAACAGCTTTATGTGTGTGTGTGTCTTGCCACATCGCTGGTATTTTATTAAAGGGACACAATAATCACCAAAACAACTTTAGCTTAATGAAGCAGCTTTTAGAAAACAGAAGTCTTAATGCTCAATTCACTGTTATTTAGGAGTTAAATTAATTTTGCAAGAGCTCCCCTGGCTGTGACTGACGCAGTCTGCATGAAAACAAAATGGTTTCACTTAGTTTTTATCTTTTGCTCTGTAAATTAAACTCTAATCACATGCAGGAAGCGCCTGCAAGGTCTAGCAAACTATTAACAGTGCAGGAGATAGAGAATTCTAAATTAAACAGAATTTGCAATAAAGGAAGTATAAACATTAGATGACTCTTTACGTGAAGTGTTTAGGTAGACTATATAAGTCACACACATGGAGGTGTTTCTAGAGATGCATAAATAAAGTGATTTAATTCCTAAATGGCAGATAAATGAGCAGTGGGGCTGCAAGGGCATGGTCTGTACACCACAACTGCTTCATTAAACTAAAGTTGTTTTGGTGACTATAGTGTCTGTAGTGGACCTGCAAGGTGAATACCAAATATCTCCGCTGGGATCCTCTGGAGCTGAAAAGAAGCGCTGTTTGGTGATTATAGCCCATTCCCCCAGTAACTGGATGACACACAGTTCTGGGAGTCAACTGATTTTAATGAACCAAACTCTGCCTTTTATGCACAGACCCCAGCAGGGGTTTCCATTGTATTCAACACAATCCCCTCCCAGGAATCTCTGGGCCTGGGAGACAGTTGCGTTAAAGACTGGTAAGCTAATTATCTCCCAGGAACAGAGAGCCCAAAACAAAATCTAAAAATAAAAAAGTACCCCAAAACATAATAAAAATATAAAATAACCCCACATATTATACATCCCCAAATAGCTCTGATCTTAGAGCCCATGTTCTACAAACCTATGCTCAAAATAGTTCCAGGGCATTTGGTGCTTTTGCCGGTCAACTTTCGGGAGCTCCTGTGACCACAATACAGGGTGCTCCACCTCGCTCTCAGGTAGCGTCTGTTCCCCTTAGTCTCAGGCACCATCCCTCCAAACAGTGTTCTCCTGGCAGATTTCAGTGGTTCAAAACCCCTGACCACGTTGTCCGGAAACCGCACGGTCACCTCATGCCGAAAACAGTTCCATAACATTCGCGGCTAAGTCCCGCTAAGGTGACCAGGGACCCATGAAGTCCTCATGCCAAAATTAGTTCCATTGCGGTCGCGGCCAAGTACCGGTGAGGACCATTCGTGGGTTTGGTTCATACGAATGGCCGCCAGGGAGCTAGATTCCATTCGAATGAAGGGAAAGTGCTGAACCATGGGCACCCAGGGAAAAAAAACCTGACCACGTTGTCCGGAAACCGCATGGTCACCTCATGCCGAAAACAGTTCCATAACATTCGTGGCTAAGTCCCGCTAAGGTGACCAGGGACCCACGAAGTCCTCATGCCAAAATTAGTTCCATTGCGGTCGCGGCCAAGTACCGGTGAGGACCATTCGTGGGTTTGGTTCATACAAATGGCCGCCAGGGAGCTAGATTCCATTTGCATGAAGGGAAAGTGCTGAACCATGGGCACCCAGGGAAAGCTGCTAATGGCGGCTGCGCGGGGTAACTCCTGAATGGTATAACTAACCTGGACCATAGTCGGTGGGCAGGAGGCCAGCTTCCACACTCCTCCAGGAGTTTGTGGCAAACTTTCAAGGGAAGGAGCGTTTGTCACAGTGTCCCTTTAAGTTAAAGCTCAAGCCTATTGTAGAAAATGTATGTTGATAGAAACTGTTTAATATAGAGGAGTAAACTAACAAAATGCGGTACTAGCACTCAATGAACCCAGTGGTGCTGGTATAAGGGCACACACTCTAAAAGATGTATACAAAAACCCACCAAAATAATTAATATTGTTTCTTTAAGGTTTATCTCATTGGCAATTTGTAATATATATGGAAGCAGTTATCTGTATGATGTGAAAGTATATATTGTATATATCTTTGTGAGGCAATTTAGGGGTTAAACCTGTTTTTTTTCGCATGTTTTTCAGATGTATGATATGTAGAGGTTGGATTTGGACCTTCTTGTTTCCAAAACTATTTTGTTGGCGAACTTGTTTTTTCTTTTTTATAAGGTGTCTCTAATGCAAATCTCACATTTGCCAAGTAATTAAAATCTACTTATGTCTTTGAGCATTTAACACTTGTGAGTGCAGTATTATTTTGATTTGTTTTTAATATAGAGGGTAGACAGGGACATTAGAAAGGAGGCCAGGAGCTGTAGAGGAGGGGACATAAGCTGTAGTGGAGGGCCGGGGCTGTACAGTGGGGCAAGGGCTGTAGAGTGGAGGACAGTGTCTGTAGAGGGGGAGACAAGGACTGTAGTTGGGGGACAGGGGCTGTAGAGTGGAGGACAGTGTCTGTAGAGGGGGAGACAAGGACTGTAGTTGGGGGACAGGGGCTGTAGTGGGTGGGGGGGCGGGGGACGACAACAGGTACGGCTTTAAAAAAAACCTTTCTGATTAAAAAAAACAAGAAAAAAACTAAAGTATATTCCCCCCTCCCTGAGGCTCAACATGGGCCAATGAGGGGAGAAATATAATCCCTGGCGGTTAGGTAGGACAAGACAGGAGCTGGAGGTAGAATCTTGTCCGCTGGGGAGTCTGGTAGAAGAGCCGTGGAAGTCACGCCCTCCTCCTGACATTATTAGTAGTAGCCGGCTGACTTCACTGCTTCACAGTCACTTCACTTTACTGCTGTATGCTGGCTGCAGGGAGAGTGTGATAGGCTGCAGTGATTTAGAAAATTAGAGTCCCAGCCAGGTGCTCTGGCACACTAAGGCATTCCCATGCTATGAAAGCTCAGGCTGCGCTTAGCCCTTCATGAATGAAGAAGGATTAATTCATTAACAATAAGCTATATATGGACATGATTAAATACTATAAACAATGTCCAGATTTTGCAGGCCAACTGGCGAAGGGTTCGGCCCCATTTTGACTTTAGTAAATAACCCTGTATCTGCGTTTGGGGATAGTTCAGTGGTTATTATACCAGCTGCAGTTTCCTGGCTGGGCCAGATTTGCAAAGGTCTATAAAATGAGTACTTCAAATGATATCCCTTCTAGTTACAAATGTACTCTTTTTGGTACATTTATGCATGTTCATAGTGTAGTTATACAGACACAACTATTGTATATTTGGGGATTAAAACCATCAATAACCTGAAATATACTTTAAAGCAACACTTTACTCACTGTAAAACCTTTTATCTAATTGAAGTTTTTATAGTGCTAGCACTTTGTCTTTGCAAAGTTTTACTTTATTAGTTTGAAGGCACACCTCCAAACCCTCTAAATAGAGAACTGCTAGTTAGCTCTCAAGCTCAGGAATAATGTGATGTCACATGGGAAAGCGCAACGCTGTCATAGCATTTAATGGATTGGACCGTCATCTTGGGGGAACACCTCCAGGATGATATCATGTAAGGAGGAGTGGACAACAGTGTTCATTTTGGTGGCAAATTTTAGTTTAGTTTTGGCGTAGTCTTTTAACTAAAAAGCCATATTAGTTTTAGTCGTATTTTAGTCATCTTAATTGTTTTAGTGTTAGTCTAGTTTTAGTTGACTAAATCGCCAGTCGATTTTAGTCGACACTACTAAAATATAATAGGTTAAGTTAAAGGGAAACTCCAGTGCCAGGAAAACAATCCATTTTCCTGGCACTGCAGGTCCCCTCTCCCTCTCACCCCCCCCAATCCTCGGTTGCTGAAGGGGTGAAAACCCCTTCAGTGACTTAACAGAGGCAGCGACATGTCCCAGGTCGCTGCTTCTTCCTCTGCCGCCGCTCGTCCTCTGTATTACGTCGGCCGGTGGGCGAGACTGATCCCGCCCACCGGCAGGGGAGACCTAATGCGCATGCGCGGCAATGCCTTGCATGCGCATTAGAGCTCCCCATAGGAAAGCATTGAAAATGCTTTTCAATGCTTTCCTATGGGGAATTGAGCGACGCTGGAGGTCCTCACACAGCGTGAGGACGTCCAGCGACGCTCTAGCACAGGTTTTCTGTGCTATGATGCATGAAGTGCCCTCTAGTGACTGTCTAGTAGATATCCACTAGAGGTGGAGTTAACCCTGCAAAGTAATTATTGGTTTATAAAAAACTGCAATAATTACACTTGCAGGGTTGAGTAGTAGGAGTTGGCACCCAGACCACTCCAATGGGCAGAAGTGGTCTGGGTGCCTGGAGTGTCCCTTTAAAGCCCCTATCTGTCTCTTTTGCCCCTTCCCCAGCCCTCTGTGTCTTCCCCTAGCCCCTTTGGATGTCTCCCCCTCCAAGCTACTATCTGTCTCTTTTGCCCCTTCCCCAGCCCGTGTGTCTCTTTCCCTCCATAGCCCCATTTGTGGGTCTCTTCCCCCAGCGCCTTATCTCATTCTCCCCAGCCCATACATGTCGCTTTGTTCCCCCTTCCCAGCCCCTCTATGTATTTCATCTCCCCCAGGTGTCTCAATTCCTCCCACAGCCCCTCCACGTTTCATCCCCCCCCAAGTGCTCATTTACCACCCAGTCTCTGCATGTCTCATTTGCCCAGCCCCTCATGTGTCTTATGCCCCTAGCCCCCCCATGTGTCTCAATCCCCCATGTATTTTAATCCACCAGCCCCCATGTGCTTCATTTCCTCTCCCCCCCCCCACGTGTCTTACTCTCCAGTGTTCATTTTGGTGGCAAATTTCAATTTAGTTTTAGTCAGTCTTTTGACTAAAAAGCCATTTTAGTTTTAGTCATGTTTTTGTCATCTGATTTGTTTTAGTCTACTAAATCTCGACTAAAATCTGACTGAAATTGTTAGTCGACAAAATTAACACTGGTGGGCAAGAGAGACTGGGTGATAATTGCTCTTCTGGCGAGTGTCTTAAAGGAACACTATAGGGTAAAGAACACAAACATGTATTACTGACCTTATATTGTTGAAACCACCATCTAGCCCCCTATAGTAAAATCTTACTTTTGATCCAGTCTGCTGCTGCTTGCTCTGCCTGCTCGGCTGACATCATCGCAAAATGCCTGAATGTAATGATTGTACTCAGCAGAACAAATGCATTAAGCTGTAGTTGTTCTGGTTACTATAGTGTCCCTTTAAGTTTAATCTACATTGTATACACTACAATGTAGTGTATTGTTTGTATGCACTTATTTGCTGCTTGCACTTATTGTGTTTTTTTGTGTACTGTTGATTTGTATACACTAGATCTACACTTACTTGAAGGTAAACTTGTAATCTACATAATTTGTGGATGGAAGATGTACTTGGTATAGTTATATATAAATAATAAACTTATACAGAGGTAGCCCAGCTTCATATAACATCATATGAAGGCATCGCTAATGGGATCAATACAAAACTCAGAATTTCACTGAATGATTGCATCTTCTGCTCCCTTGCAGGTCTCGGTTCTGGTCAGTCTGCGATACCTTCAGACCTCTATGGATAAGATCACTGGTGTGGAGGACATGGAAACAGATTCAGAAGGATTCCTTCTGGAGAAGGGAGTGGGAGAGACCCTTAATAGCACAATAGAGAAAACAAAAGCCCTTTTCAAATCCAGTCAGGTGGAGACAGAGGGGGGAGGGGAAGCTGGTGGCAGATAGAGGTCGGAATAAAGGTTTAAGTTAAGGGGGGTATAGAGACTTTAGAGATATTCCAAGGCTGCTTGTATATTAAGTACCTGCCCTCTATAACCAAGAAACTGCTGTGCGTTATCCCTATGTGTCTGCCCTAAACACGTATGAGAGGGAGGACTGTCTATAGAAGGTGGTGGTACACCCAAATGTAGCTTCCATAATGTAGATTAAGCAGAGACATGAATAAAAAAAGAGATACTGTTTCAAGTGTGTGTTGTACAGTGGGGAGGATGGGATAGGAAAGATACCCGGGATGTATTAAGATGAAACACACACAAAGGAAGAAGTACAATGACATACACAGACATGGCTGTACAGACTGTGCAATGCACAGACAATGAAACCAGTTTTACAATAACCCCGCTTTAAATTGGTGTGTCTTCAATGTAAACATATTTAATAATGAATACAGTTGTCACAGTTTGTTTATTCATTTGATACACCTCAGGCTCCATATAAATAACCCTGAATTAAATAATGGAATACCATGAACACAATTTCATAAAATAAACCCTTCCAATCCCCGAAATAATAATGTAGTATCAATGTAGTAACTTAATCCCCATGTACTAAAGTTTCTCTTCTCCATAATATCATGCCTTGACAGCACAGAAAATAAATGGAGTGCGTAACAAGGAACTTTCTATGTGAAGAAACCCACCCTATTGTCCTCATATTTAATTGACTTCCATAATAAAATGACATATGTACATCTGACCTCTATGTTAAGGTCATGCTATTCTGTTGTATTTTGCTGGCCTCTACCAAGACCATAACATTTTAATTAAGGATTTTTAATACGTGCAAGTCTGACCAATGTATTATGGCTTTATTACTTCTCAGACGTGACCTGTAATTCATAGACTGACTTCTGCAGTGTGGTTGATTGGGTGCTGTCATCACTATTTCACAAGTGGGATTGTACCTATTCATAGTCAGTACATTTCGAACCAATATCTGTGAAAAGATCACCCAAGTCTAAACTCTCCTTCAGGTCACCGCTAGTTATTTGGTCCTTACAGTCACATTGAATTACTTTATCAATACTGCAATGACTCTGAGTACTAGAGAGACACTTAATACTGCATAATTCTATGTGTAGCACAGATAGGAAGGGATAAAAGGGAGCACTTGCACGAACTACTGTGGAAATAATGCCCTAAGACTAACCCCAAGTCGGTTTTTCTTGTGCAAGGACTAGCTACAAACAATGGCACAATTCAGAAATCCTAGTTTTTTCCAATGTGAGGTTGAGAAACCCATTTGCTACAGAAGTTGAAATGGGGTAACTCTGCTTTGGAGCTGTCTTGGGTGAGAGCTCTGCAATAAAACATACAATGTACACTGGTGACTGACCCATTTGACTAGGTGCACAATTGTCCATGAACTATTTTTAACTGAAATCAGAGGTGATGTGATTGAAGATCATCAATGTACATTAGCACCTGACCTGACCTCAGTGTTAAGGTAATATCTGTACAGTAGGGTTTGACCTCAGTGTTAAGGTAATATCTGTACAGTAGGGTTTGACCTCAGTGTTAAGGTAATATCTGTACAGTAGGGTTTGACCTCAGTGTTAAGGTAATATCTGTACAGTAGGGTTTGACCTCAGTGTTAAGGTAATATCTGTACAGTAGGGTCTGCACTACGATCATGCCGGCACATTGGGGTCTGGCTTTTATATGAAGATGATATCTGCACATTAGATTCTGAATTAAGATCACACAAGTACATTGGGGTCTGATCCTCTTCCTAGTTTCTCCAGCGCTTCTTCCTGTTTGAGCTTTGGTTTTTCGGTTCTTGTGTGCCAGACCCAAATCTGTGGAGGAGAGAACAATACAAGAGTTACACGACAAGACAAGCAAGAGTAAAGATTTTATTATATATATGGTGTTGGTTTCGGAAAAGCATAAACATATCCTAGAAAATAAAAAAATGAATGGCAGATGAGGATAACACAACCTGTTTAGAGGTGGGAGGTGATTCTATAAAACATTACAGTAAATTGCTAACTCTTCATTTTACCCTAGAACCACCATGCTTGTTTTGTTTTCATGATAAATCAGCACTGAGACCATTTGTATAATTAATACTTATTTTCTTACATGATGGGCATATGTGGAAAGGGTTTCTGCCCAAGACTGTCCAAGTATATGCCAATAAATGATTAAATGCTCACCAAATAAACAATTTAGTTGCTTGAATGTGAGTGTGCAATTTACATGGTCTACTCAAATTCACATTCTGTTTCCATAGTAATACAAAGTAAATGATTAATGAATCATATCAAAACACACCTTAGTGCAATTATCTGCTCGAGGTTCCAGATCTTCCACTGATACTAGCTGTCCCAAAAGACTGCTTTCCAGAAATCCCCTCTCTGCATTGGGGTCAAACCGAGCCTCTGGATGCATTAAGAGCAGTGTCAAAGACACTGCAAATCCCGCCATGTCTATGGGAAATGGTCTGTGTGTCTTCCAAGCGGTGTGAAATCCAACAACTCTGCCTTTATCTACCAGTGGCCCCTCGTACCGCAGGCCCCCGACCAACCCAACTGGCCAGACAGAGACTTTCTGCGTGTGACGCATCTGTAATAAAGAGGAACAATGTCTGTAAAATGGCTTAAAAACTAACTTTGTCATAATAACTTTGTTAAAAACAATTAGACAGACAATTAAAAGACAAGAGATGGATGAGACAGTTGACTCATTGTATAGAAAGTGCACACACATAAACCACGAGCAAGGGCACAGACAAAGCATTAGGATAGACAAACAAGAACCTGGACATAAGGAAAGATGTTGGCAGTAGACACACAAGAGCTTGTAAATTAAAGGGACTTTCCATAACACTTTAATCGAAATTAAGGCGTTATGGTGTGAAGAGGTCCCTGAGCACAGACTTACGTCAAGGGGTTAAACTGTTAACGATTTAACCCCAAGTCTTGAATCTATCTCATGTCAGATCTGCACTGCTACTTCGGTTGCAGTCTGAGGCTTGAATCAGGAATCCTCTGACTGGAAATCACTGATTGCAACATGTTCAACCTCACCCTGTGACATCACGTAAAGGACGCGCACTCATGTTCTGGGGGTTAAAGGCCGGGTACGGACAATCGGATCTGAAAGAGGCTTATTTAAACTCCTTTTTTCCTTTTACTCATTGCCATGTCATGGTTTCCCTTAGTGGTTGTCCAAGAGTGTGTTTCTGGTTATTGACTATCTCTGGTACGTTAAAGTCCGTCCGTTCTAAGGCCCGGTAAGACGTTACCTTTAGTCCTAGGTGTGATACAGTTCTGCGTGCTGGATCAACTAGTAATCCTGACACTGATAACCTGAGACCATCAGCTGACAATTTCAATAGCTCCTCATTCACAAAAAAAGAGTAAAGTAGTCATCTTTGAGGTAAGTAATTGAAATGAAGTTGTTATGGTGCACGGAGTGTTCCTTTATAGAATACAGACAAAAGAGAAGGCAGACACTTGGGTCTGAGAATAGTCGAAGATGTCTGCTGTAGAGACACCTGAGTTTGGGAGTGAAAGTGTCTGGATTATAATTGATCCAGCACGCAGAACACTATCACACTTAGGACTAAGGATAACGCTTAACGTTGTACTCACTGGGGACCGGAACGGAAGGAGGTCGGGCAGCGGTTTGCGGCGACCAAGGTAAGTATACAATATATCTGTCGTCGTGGCCGCTTGGTTTATGTGCGGCCACGCCAGCAGAAGAAGGGGGAGCCGTGACAGAAAGAAGCTGATGGTATACAAAGTTAAAAATCTGCTAATTAGTAGGGACAAGATGAAGACAGAAACATGGCTAATGGGAATGAAAAACAATGCTAGAAAGAAACACATGAACAGGGGAAGGGGCGAGTGCACTCAAAAAATACAGAAGTTGCAAAATCGTCTAAGGAAAAAAAGACAAGATATAGCCATAGTCTAAAATTGGCACACAGGAATCAGAAGGAGAAGAATTATGTGGTAGGATATCGACACTTGCAAAGGAGGGTAGCACTGAAAATAAAGAGATGTTACATAGATTATGGGCAGGGTGGGGGATTTAGCTGTCTGGAAAGAGAGGAAGTATAGAAGATTTTACGATAGGAAAGCAAAAGACAATTGGGCACAGCAAAAACAAAGCTGAACAGAGTAAATAAAGCAAGATTAAAGAATTAAAAGCAGCTAAGGGAGATGGGTTATTAGAATGAAGACAGAATCTATAAAATTAAGAAACAAATTAAACAACAATGCTAATAAATAATGAATTAGGAAGGAGTTGAAGGAGGCATGTAGTGAGTAGCTAGAGATTAAAACAGAAGATAAATTTGTTACAATCTGATGACAGTGAGGTAGTGGAGACATGTAGCTGCAAGAATAGAAGGAAGTAAGTGAAAGTTAGAGAATGGAAGAGGTGGGGAAAACATAGTATGAATGAGTCAGATAAAGACAGGTGTGGTACCCAGAGACATGCACAAATTAAAAAAACTAATGAGGTAGGAGCCCAAGATGATCATGCTTCTCTCTAAAAAAATCTCACCAAGTCTGATGCTTGTTTAGAAAGTTGCATTTGATAGGTTTTGGCCTCATTCATAATGGGGCTTTTTGATATTATTGTCCACACATAATCTCCTCTACATTTACTATTACAATTTACTACCCTTGACTTAGATGAAAGAGATAGCTCTCTCTGTATTACACTGCTTATGCTAGGAGCTACATTCTGGGGATAGGGGCTTATTTATTAGTACTGTCTGGACATTCTTTTCTCTGCTTACACACAGAATATTTTTCCACTTCAGACATTGACCATATTTATGTTATTAAAGTCTAGAGCAGGGGTAGGCAACCTACAGCACTAGTGCCGTGCACGGCACTCAAGGTGTATTTGCACGGCACTCAAGGCTGCTAGAGCCAAACAGGCTCTGGCCTATCAGGAGTCCCAGTAAAACTTCAGATATCTGCTAATACGAAGAGGTGGTGAAGGACAATCCTCAATTTAAGCATTGCAGTACATAGAGGAAGTGATCGCAGATCACTTCCTCCCAGCACTTGTGAATGGGAATCCACACTGTAGTAGAGCAGCCCGCAGCTGCTGTTGTAGCTCCTGTCCTTGACCTGTACCTGGCCAGCCTGGTCCCCACTGGAACCCAGGGAAGCCACACACACTGCAAGATATACACAGAAATGCAGAATAACCCTCCCCTCATACAAATAATATGAACAGCCCACACACAAACATACATACAATCCGCACAAACGTAACCCGCTAACAATCCACATACATGCACACAACCCCATATGCAGCCTCTCACATGCAATACCCCAAACAGCCCCCACACACTACCAAACACACAATGTGACATATCCATCCACACACAATTCTACAAGCAGCCCCCATTCATATGTATCCTACACAATACCCTAAACTACTTATATACAATATAATAGCTCAAATACGCACAAATACAACGATACAAAGCAATTACAGTAAAAATAACACAAGCATAATACGGCAGCATACACACCTCAATTTAAAAAAATAGGACAGGCACGCTACAGGACATCACAATCCTATATCGGCACAGTGCTGCTAAAAGGTTGCCTACCCCTGGTCTAGAGTCTGGTGAAAAGGGGAACTACTAAGCGAAGCAATAGGAGGATTAGCCATTTGGCTTTGGTTGTGTTTTTTCTTTTTTCTGTTCTTGGCCATCACATTTGTTATAGAATGAGTTTGATAAGCATTTATCCATTTATTTTTTCATTCAATATTATTTCTTAACGATTAATAGGATATCCAGTTATCACTCTCCTGCTGGGTCATTAGTCCAGCGGAAAGAGTGTTTTCTACCGTTATCAATAACAATAAAAGAAAACAAAATATCTTTGATTTCTTCACACAGAACTCCTACTAAAACAAAGAAGGGGGATGAAGCACTGAGCTGATGTTTACTTGTTTTGTGGTTTAGTGTCACTTTATGAGTGACTGGGGAAGATACTAACCGTTAAGTGTTATTCCCGGCACTCTGATTCACATTGCTTCCAGGCCAGTTTTTTTTGTTTTACCTGACAGAGGTCCTGGCCATCGAACAATTCTTACAGGATGAGACTGGAGTAAATTGTTTAACTAGTGGATATAACGTCTGTTTCCAAAAAGCCTACGTTTATCTTCTACTACTGCGAGTTTGGGGTTCCGATCGTGGAGCACCAGATCAGTAATTCTGATTGCGAGTATCCTTCTACATTTGTTCATTGAACAATTCTAGACAGCTTTGATCAGGACGCTCTGAACATTAGGATCTCTAATCAGTGACTTTCATTATAAAATAGTATGAGTGATATATAAGACAACAATTTTTTTTTAAACAGTGAACCTCACATTATCCAAAGGGAATTCATATAAACCATGTGTGTAAAGTATATAAACCAAAGTTTTTGTTTTTTTACCTCCTTGAAGATATTGACACTGTATGTATTGTCATCATCAGCAAAATATACAACCCCTCGGTCCATGGGTGACTGGTTCACCCTTAGCCAACGGAGAGCCTCATTACGCTGCTCCACACCCCGGGGCTTTAGCCAGTTTGGCTCCCCTTCCTTAAGCTTCATGGGTGGTGGAGTCTGGACATTTAAGTGAGTGTAATGTAAACCACTCTGAGCCAGCAAATCTGCCACTAAAGGTGAGCGTTTTAAAGAGTCTTCTACAAGGATCCAGTGCAGAGCAGGTACCAGAAGCAATGTTTGAGACAAGCGGGTAAGTTCTGCTCTCTGGTGGGGACTAGAAAGGAGACAGGAGATAGAAAAAATGAAGGGAACAAATGTGGTAACAGGAAACATAAAAAAACTAAAGTGCAAACAAAAGAAGAGAATTCACAGTAGTACAACAGAGGTTTATTGTTTCTCAAATGAAGGGAGGGTTAATAAGGACTATATAGAAGCTACTTCATGGTGGTTATGTTAAGTTTTTTTTAAAATATTGAAATATTGATAGCCATAAAGAATCTACCCCTGTAGTGCGATGGCAGACAGACCAAAAATCCTAGTACTGCTCACATATGAGAAATATTTATCACCAGCATCATATATTTTGTTTTTAATTTAAACCAGGGGTTTCAAACTCAGTCTACCTGAGGTCAATACATCTTCTCTGCTCTCTGGCCAATACGGTGATCCCTACTCCCAGATGGAGACATTCACGCATGCAACCTGAATGAGGTCTTCTAAATGATGAAAGCCTATTTTTGGTGAATGCGAGTGTTTTGCGAAAGAACTAGCTTGACTATATTGAGCAGGTAAACAGTCAAGTTAAATTTGTTTTGGCTCATGTTACTGGAACATTTAACCAAGTTTGTCAAAAGCCAAAAGTTAAAACCAACACATGAGGGTAAAGAGTAGAAAAAAAGTGTTGGCACATGTCATTAAATGAAGGCAAACAGTTTTGGGAGGAAGGTAATGCATTAGAAAACAAGCAATATAATAAGTACACACACATATGTAATTATAGTTGGAGCAAAAAGAAAGATGAAGGATGTATGACGAACCATATCTGCATAGACGAGACATGTGATACTTAGCACGTATGGGAAGAATTTGCTGCAAACTACAACAGCAAGACGATATGAAACTTGATTATTAAATGATACTACTAACCGTTCATAGGTTGGTGTCACTACATATATAATGGGCAGTTGGTCTACTCCACCTTGGTTTCCAGGTTCTTTGGGGCTCACAGGATTATGCCGCCCCCTGCCTTCCCGCAAAATTTGTGAGCAATTACATGGCTGTCCTGTCACAAAAAAAAAATATACATTTGGTTAAATATGATTACACCCCTTAAAACCTTTAAGAGTCGTACAAAGCCATCTCACTGGCTGACCTCTGCACTCCAGCCCAAATTCATAATGACACATCTGATCCCTTCTGTTTCTCAATGCTACGTATTCCACATCCACCTAGCCTTTCTGTAAAAAAAGGGTATCGCAACATGCAACCTTCCAGTTGCTGTAAAATGCAATACTCAGCTGAGGGTTCATCAATCTGAAGTCCTCAAGCTGCCACAAAGATAGAACATGCACAGCACTGGGTTAAAGGAACACTATAGGCACCCAGACCAATTCATCTCAATGAAGTGGACTGGGTGCCATGTGCTCCCACTTCTAAATGTAAAGCTGAAGACACTGCTGTTCTGCAAGAACAGCAATATTTTCTTTGCAGGGTTAACCTGCATGTAGTGGCTGTCACTATGACAGCCAGAAGAGGAGCTTCTGTAAAATAACAGGGTAAAACTCTGCTATTTTAGTCTGATGGTTTCAGAGAGTCTTACAAAGCTTAGCTATGGCAGCTACATCAAGCAGAGCAGCGCAGGGAGGGAGTTAACTACTGTTTTTTTTACCTTGGAAGTATATAGAGTTAGGAATACAAATATCTATATTCTTAACACCACAGTGTTCTTTTAAAGGGATACTCTAAGCACCAAAACAACTTTAGCTTCATGAAACAGTTTTGGTGTATAGATTATACCCATGCAGTCTCATTGCTCAATTCTCTGCCGTTTAGGACTTAAATTACTTTGTTTCTGTTTGTGCAGAACTAGCAATACCTCCCCTGCCTGTGACTCACACAGACTGCCTGAAGAAATGGTTTCATTTTCAATCAGATCTGACAGCGCTGTTTGTTTACATTAGAAGTGGTCATCTCCTGCTCTGTTAATTGCAGTTTAAATCACACACGAGGCTCCGGCAGGCTATTAACAGAGGAGGAGAAAATAAACTCTAAATGAAACAGAATTTTCAATATAGGAAGTTTAAACATTAGATCAGAAAATGTGTATGTAGATTGTAATTCATATGCAGTGAGGTGTTCCTAGGGCTACATAAACAAAGCGATTTAACTCCTAAGTAGAAGAAAATTAAGCAATGAGACTGTATGTGGCATGATCTATACACCAAAACCACTTCATTAAGCTAAAGTTGTTTTGGTGTTTCCTTTAATCCTCCCTACAGAGCCCTGATTGTCTAGCCCTATTTAGAGACCATGATCCTAGATCACATACCAAGTTGCAGAACAGCATACAGGAGACCAAAAATGGAGACCACAAAGTAAACCAGGAAGATATTTCTGAGCTTCAGCCTCATGTTGCTGAGAAAGAGGGAAAGTGCTCAGTTAACGAACACCTGCCAGGGAGAGAAGGAAAAGAAAAGATGATGTGGGGAATTCCACTTTGTAAAAGGTCAATTCATGAACACATTTACTGGTTTATAAGACTGAATATGCTGACAGTAACATATAATAAGAAACAAAGAGAAAAAAACAGGAGTGTTTAAAGGAGGAAATCTATAGTATAATATTGCATCGGGGGGGGGGGACGGGGGGCATTACATCTGTTTTAAAAGAGGTAACAAACAGGAATTGACAACCCCAAAAGATCCCAGACACTGGGGAAGGCTCCCTCAGGGAAATCTGGCACCCTAACAAAGTTGTTCAAAGAGTATGCTGAACTTATAACGGAGAACACAGATTCCAATATGGCGCCGGTGGCCCTCCTTCCCAGACATTAGAGAGATCCTGAAAAATATCCCCTCCCGGTCTGATTTGGTGGCAATGCTCGGCAAGCTCGAGACCACCTTCCAGACCAGGCTAAAAGGCCTAGGAAAGGAATGCAACCACGTGGGTCACCAGGTCCAAGACTTGGAAAAAGATAGGGATCTGATCCACTCACAAATACAAATGCTGACTTCCAAGGTAGAATCATAAGCAACTCACCTGGCACACTTACAGAGATCATTGGACGATGTGGATAATCAGGGATGGAGAAATAATATCTGGATCCGAGGCCTGCCTGAGGCCGGGGGGAAGACCTGCACAGTATCCTAAAGGAGTTATTTAACTTAATATTAGGTAAGGCCGTTGACACACCGATATTATTTGACAGAGCACATAGCTAACTCAAGCCTAAAAACGCAGCAGACTCCCACAGAGATATAATATGTAAATTACATTATTTTCATGAAAAAGACGAGATCCTGCGAGCGCCCAATACACAACACCACCACTACTTTACCATGGGCACGAGATCCAGATTTTTCCAGACTTATCGTGGCACACCCTCCACGCCAGGAGATCCCTAAAACCCGTCATCAACTGCGAACCCGAAACGCCAAATACCACTGGGGCTTCCCATTTGCCCTCATTGTGGCACATCCAGGAGCCACTCACATTATTGCCACGCATCAGGATGTGCACCCATTTATTAGAGCACTGGGGCTGAATCCACCACAATTAATGGATTGGTACTCCTCCGACCAGGCACAGAACATTATCCCACTGCCACAACGCCAAAAGGTGAGGACACCTTTCAAGAAGAGACGGTATTTGGCAGAAAACACACAACACTCAGCCAGACGAGATGGACCCAGGACCAATAGACTTCTCTAAAAATTGACCATACAGCAGTAATGCTCCCGAACACTCACGGGACTCATACACCTGTTCTCTGGACATTGAAGGGACCCAGGGGTTCCACCATACCTTTCCATTACAAGCCTTCTGGAGCAGGCTTGAATCATCCTTGGTGGAATCCAAGCACCGGCAATACACTGGAAAGGAACTATCTCCAATCACCACCTCACAACAAGACCAGCAGGAAATACTGAGATGTTTAGGGTTCTGTCTCTTGTTCACCACTTAATAGGTCTCACCACTATCCCTGATAGGCCCTCTAAGATACAGCGATTCTGAGAGTAACACATCCCTGCCCCTAGCGGTCGGGTACGGGTCACCTGGCCAACCCCAGGATTCTCATCCTCACACTTTGTACCTTCCCACCAACGCCTCCATTTGGGGGGACCCCTGTACCGTGGTCTACAGATCACCCTTCCTTCACACAAAACGCAGTCTAGAACACCCAAACCCAGACGGGGAGCATACAGACTTAAATTTTGTTACCTCCTAAAATCTTTCTGCAACTCATACAGATTTACTCCTGGTGGCCCGCCAGCATTCACTATTGATTCAACTTCACACATCCACCAGCTTCTTACAGTGGACGACAAGGCTCCACTTCTATAACCATCCCTCACGAATGAATACGCACTAACCTCAAGACTCTTTATTAGACAAAGCTTATATAACTAAGCCACACTGAACCCTCTAACTTTCACAGCGGTGTCAGTGTAGAGTGTTCCCTGCAGACTCAGGTTAATCTCAAGGATCGACATCAGTGCTAGTACCATTAGACATAACTACACTATATCGCTGAAAACATTCACGTCAATATTATTGTACTGTATATAGTTCTTCTTCTTATTATTTGCTGTTGTTTAAACCATATTGTTTTTGCACTTCTCTCTCCGCAAGCCACAAACCCAAGGGATTCACGGGTTTGTGAAACTCGCAGCACACACCCAAAATCCCAGTATAACCTCTCACATGGCAACCATAACAGTAGTCTCGCTAAATACCAGGGGCCTAAACACTCCTGAAAAGAGGAAAAGAGAATAGCACTCCAAGAAGCACATCGCCTTAATGCAGAGGTGGTCTTACTCCAAGAGACCCATTTTCGCAAAGAATCTGCACCGACCATACGTTATATGCGCTATCCCATAGGATACTTTAGTAATTACACCATATCCAAATCAAGGGGGGTGGCGATCTTTCTGGGGCCACTGTACCAATTACCTACAAGGACCACAATATAGACCACAATGGCAAGTACCTATTTGTGAAGGGGCTAATTGGCAACACACTGGTGACTTTAGTGAATATATAACTCGCGTACAGAAAACAAGGATGCTCACTGAGTAAAATTCTAAACACCCTAGAACAATTTACGGAAGGCCTCCTGCTTATAGGATTTCAACATATCTCTGGACAGCTCACTAGACTCCAAATCTGCCTCACATGCGTATCAGATTCCCACACACAAACAAATAAACACTCTCCTCGACACTGCTCAACTCTTTAATTGTTGACGGACACTACATCCAACAGCAAGAGACTTTTCATTCTACTCCCACCCAACAGGCTCCTATGTTCTTCCTACCACACCGCTTCCTCAACCTAATATCCCATTGCACATACGGCCCGACCACATGGTCAGATTACACACCCTTGTCTCTTACCGTCCGGATCCCATCGCTCCACCCTTCGAGGGCCAATGGAAATTAATGACAAAGACCTCCTAACACAAATTAAGCTAACCTTAGACCAGTACTTTACACAAAACTCTACTCCTACTTCCACTTACCCTATGATCTGGGAAGCACACAAAAGCATCATTAGAGGCAAACTTATCCAAATAGCATCGGCCCAAAAACGTAAAAGGGATGAAAAGACAAAATTCTTATTAGCCAACTTACGGTCACTAGTGGACAGTCACAAAACTGATCTTGACCTATCTACATACATAAAGCTCACAGACAAGAGATCGGAGTGGGCTATCCTTAATGGAGCCCAAATCAAGAGGAAGCTGTTCCTCACTAAGAGCCTGTACTATGCACAAGGAGGTAAATGCGGATGCCTCTTAGCGTAGGCGCTAAAAAAAATAAAGACTGACTATGTTCATACCCTCTATCGTAAATTCCAAAGGCGTAAAGTCAAATTTAATGACGAACATAACAGAGGTATTTCATGAGTTCTATCATAAGCTCTACAACCTCAGGGAGACCCCACCATAACCGGGTGGAACATAACGTGTCGCCCTTTGCAGATGACATGCTATTCACAGTTTCTGACCCTGCCCACTTCCTGCCCCACATATGCGTTAAATGTCCATGTACAGCGAGGTCTTGAACTTCCAGGCAAACTTAAGCAAATGCAAGATCCTGCCATTAAACATACCAGACCTAGTAAAAATACAATAACAATCAGCCTTCGCGTTCGCTTGGGCGAAGGGGTCCCTCAAATATCTAGGGGTTTTGGTCCCCTCAACACTATCCCAACTTTATGACTGCAGCTTCCCGCTTTTCATTCAATCAATATCCAAAGATCTCACAACATGGCACACACCGCAATTTGGCTGGTTCTGCAGGATAAACATACTAAAGATGAATGTCCTACCCAGAATCTTATATTTACTCCAAGTCCTTTCTATTAACCTACCGAAAACATTCTTCGCTACCATACGTAAACTATTTACAGCATTCATTTGGTCACACGGACACCGGAGACTAGCATACTCACTACTGACTAGACCAAAGACAGATGAAGGACTGGGACTCCTTAATGTGGAGACATACCACGATGCAGTACTACTGGCCAGAATATATGACTGGACAGAGGTTGCCACATACAAACAATGGGTGGCCATTGAAGACGCGTTCTTCAGTGTCTGCATCTACACGGTGCCGTGGCACAAATCGGGGCAAGCACTACTCACACATTCATAACCCATAACCCCCGACCGACCATAACTCCCACATTGAGACTGTGGTCGCACATCAGGCATCATACGGATATCTCTCCATATCCATCCCCACTCTTTCCAATCTCACACAACCCACTCTTCAAACCAGGTGAAGATGAGACCACATAAGGATTACCACTCCACCCTTTACCTAACTTTACTCGTGTTACTAGATGACAATGGAATTAAACCACTAGACTCCTTACTACCAGATAGAGAACATACGACACTACAAAATTTCCAATACCAACAAATAATACACTTCCTACAAACGGGAAAGTTTACTCTCAACGACAATCGTACACTCACATGATTCGAACAACTCTGTCCACAACATTCCCTCCTGTTTAGAGCTAGCTGGGAAAAGGGACTGTGACGGTAGTCACCATCACTGGGGATAGAAGACAGACAGTATGGGTGGGCTCCCAAATTCCTTTTGTGTTTTGTCACATTGTGCCTATTATTTGTGAAGGGTATGCTGAATGTATTGCTGGTCTGTGCATCTCCCCCTCCCCCCTTTTTCCTGTCCTATTGTTTCCCCAGCAGGGCGTTGTCCCAGGGACACTGCCAGACCAGTTTAATCTAGCTGCTCTGTCCCTCCTCAATCTCCCATCAGCCCTTGCTATTGTCTAACTCCACCCTTCCTTGTACTATAGTAATCTATGTAACCTATTGTATGTAACTGAGGCTGTTGGGGGCTTAAACTATGTGTGCTGTATTCATTAAAGGAGTTGCTGTTTAACCTTCAACATGTGTCATGGTGTTTGGTCCAGGGTGGAAAAGGCCCTAAATGATCCCAGTCAAGCCTCTGCGTCTGGGTGTGAAGTGTTTCAGGGTCCCTGATAGCTACAAGGAAGCAGACTTGACGGAGGTACTCGGTCGGAGTACTGGAGCTCCGTTACAGGGACTAAACCTCACATTCTCGGACGCAAATTGGCAACAGATTTTCTTGTCGATCCACAAATCCTCAACTAATTCAGCAACACAAGAAAGCAATTACAAGAGGATAATCAGATGACACTATACCCCTGCCAAACTTAAACGATTATACACAAACATGTCTGGCCTATGTTAAAGATGCCTACAGGTTGAGGGGAACTCAGCGCACATTTGGTGGTCCTGCCCAGAAATCAAAAAATTCGGGACCAGTATGTCCAGACTTATCCAAAACATCACGGGGGTGCACTAACAGTTGACACCCGAAGCCTTCATATTCCACATACTCCCCACACCGCTACCAAAATTTGTTACCATGCTCCTCAGGCATCTGTTCACTGCAGCGTCCCAACTCATTCCAACACACTGGAAAAAAGCTAACTCTCCATCTATCAGGGAATGGATACAAAAAGTAGAGGGTATTAGGATAATGGAAGAGATTTGCTTCTCCCTTTCCAAGAACCACCAAATATACTCATACACATGGGAGCCCTGTATATTCTTAAAAAAACGGCCAAGCCGAAACCGACATCTGCCCCATGTGAGAGATCTCCAAGGGGAGACTTATTACAATGCTCCCATACCCAGGGCAGTCAGACACAGATGATGGCGCAAGTGGCCGATCCAAAACCCAACCCCATTGCCCCCTCCCCCATGTACACCCTCAACAGGTAAAACCAGATAAAACACTTACACCAATTAGCAGACGCAATGACTTGACTCTCTCCGGAGGTGGAGCAGGGGTTATGCCTAAATATCTCGCTCATGCCTCAGGCAACGGTATGTGACCGAGGACTGGGGGAAAAGCACAGTACTCCCCTTGGGGATATCCAATGGGTAGCTTGAACCCTGAAGGCAAAAGCCAGACAAGTATCCCTGCCTGGGGAGGCCTACTCCCTCTACAAATACCCCACTTCTTTTCCACTTCAATTACTCCATTTCTTTAATACTGAACACTGAGCGAAGTGCTTTCTAAAGCATAACGACTTGTGATATGCATAGTTAATGTGTGAAAATGTTATAATTAATAGAAAAAAACAAAAAACCATAGTTCGCCATAGGCTACCTCACAGATGACGAGTGGGTATGGCAAACTGTCAAACAGGAAAGTTACTAATTATAATGGTCCGGTACAACGCAGATGTCAACAGGTGTTAACTAGAGATGTCGCGAACCGGATGCTGTCCAGGAAGTAGGAGGGTCTGGGAGGGAGGGTCTGCTGGAGATTGGCCAGGACGTGTCAGCTGACCGGAGTTTGCCGCGAACAGCTCGTGGCGAACCGTTCACGAGAAGTTCACGGACGGTTCGCGATATCTCTAGTGTTAACCTGTAGGAGTAATCACTATTTGCAAATGTACCATCTGTATAATGCATATTGCCAAATCTTCAGTCCTAACATGTATACCTTTTACTCATATGCTTTCTGTCAATAAAGAACTATTTAAAAAAAAATATATATATATATATATTGCATCAGAGAATACAATGTGGCACAAAAATCACAATTACGTAAATAGTGTCAGTAAAAAAAGTGCTGTAAAAAATAGCATGCAAATTTAAAATATACGCTTTCTTATATTTTATAGTATACAATAAACAAGCACGATAAGGAAATAGCGCTATACTGTGCTTTGTGTACATTGTGCAATGTAGATAATGATATGTGGACAGAGCATTTCCTTACAGTATAAATAAAGGTGCAATTGCAGAAAAGTTTTTATCAAACAAAACCACTAATGCGTCATTAGGTTCTGGTGTCATAATGTGCACTGTTCAGTATGAGATTTCAGACTTACACTGTACAATACACTGTGCAATATTAAATCCTGGGTTTATACCGTAAGAATCCCCATGTTGTCCTTATTGTGTACATTACACAGTACAGCGTCACATTCTGCCCTTATAGTGTACACCACACAGTGCACCACCACATCCCGGTCTTATAGTGTACATTACACAGTGCAGCGTCAAATTCTGCCCTTATAGTGTACATCACACAGTGCAGCGTCACATTCTGCCCTTATAGTGTACATCACACAGTGAGCGCCACATCCTGCCCTTAATAGTGTACATCACACAGTGCACCGCCACATCCTGCCCTTGTAGTGTACATCACACAGTGACCGCCATATCCTACCCTTATAGTGTACATCACACAGTGCAGCGTTACATCCTGGCATTATAGTGTACATCACACAATGAGCGCCACATCCTGACCTTATAGTATACATCAAACAGTGCAGCGCCACATCCTGGCCTTATAGTGTACATCACACAGTGCACCACCACATCCTGCCCTTATAGTGTACATCACAGATGCAGTGCCACATCTTGGCCTTATAGTGTACATCACACAGTGCACCGCCACATCCTGGCCTTATAGTGTACATCACACAGTGCACCGCCATATCCTGGCCTTATAGTGTACATCACACAGTGCACCGCCACATCCTGGCCTTATAGTGTACATCACACAGTGCACCGCCATATCCTGGCCTTATAGTGTACATCACACAGTGCACCGCCACATCCTTCCCTTATAGTGTACATCACAGATGCAGTGCAACATCCTGGCCTTACAGTGTGCATCACACAGTGCAGCGCCACATCCTGCCCTTATAGTGTACATCACACAGTGCACCACCACATCCTGCTCTTATAGTGTACATCACACAGTGCAGCGCCATATCCTGCCCTTTTAGTGTACATCACACAGTGCAGCGCCATATCCTTTCCTTATAGTGTACATCACAGATGCAGCGCCACATCCTGGCCTTATAGTTCACAACACCTAGTACAATGAAGCATCCAGATACTTTTTACAAATCTGCACTGAATCAGATTTGGGTGGAATATTTCACTATTTTGGGAAGAGAATTCCACTATTTTACAGTTTAAATTGTCAAGAATCCTTTCCTTTGCTGTAAGTGAAATCTCCTTTCTTCATATAGAAATAGGTAACACTGTGCCCTTTGAACAGGCCTATTTATAAAAATGTTAGCAGATAGCTTTTTGTACTTGCCCTATATATATATATATATATATATATATATATATTTGTGCAATGTTATTTTTTTAGTTAACAAGTTCAGATTTTCCAAACTTTCTTCAACTCTTCCATTCCTCTTACTTATTTTTTAATTCATCTGCACACTTTCTAGTTCCATAACACCCTGCTTTAAAATGCCCCAAAACAATGCATTCAAGGTGAATATGATTTATTATTTTATAAACATGTGAGATTATGGTTTTTGTCCTGTGTCTTAGTACTTTTATTTTTATAAATGGCTATCCCATACCGGCCTAAGCAACTGCTATGCGACATTGCACATTGTTGCCTGGTCTGTTTTATACAGCTATTCGCAAGTCTGTATCACTTGTTGATTTCCTCAAATCAGCACCTTTTAGGGTACAAGTTGCTTGTGCATTCCTCACAAAACGCCAGGGTTGCATTTATATACATTATCTGCTATTTGGCTGCCAAGACCCCTAGTTTGTTCTTATCCCTATGCACCAAATGAATGTCTGCTTGAACGTTATTACCTTACCAAGTTTTGTGTCATATGCGAACACTGACTTGCTTACTGCAAGATCATTAATACGTTGAAGAGAAGTGGAACCAGGACAGACCCTTGAAGGAGTCCACTTACCACCCTTAACCTTTTCCGAGGAATCATATAAAATGCCTTGACAAAACCCAAATAAATCACATCCACTGGAATACCTTGATATATACTTCTACCTGACAGACAGAGAGTTACTAAGTCACTAGAATGGTTCCCATTATGGTCCTGCAAAATTTGCAGGACCAATGTAGAGTCTCTTCACACTCAGTATGAAGACACCAAATGCTTTAGTATAGTGCATCTCTACGTGGAGAAGCTGCAGTGTGCCCCTGAATGCTTTCCTACGGAGGATGATGATCTCAGTCAGGGGTGCAAAGGGGGATGAAAAGCAACTAATGAAAGGTAAGTGAAGCATCTTTATTTTAACTTTTAATGGAGTAGGCTATATCTAAAACTCTAGGAAGAAACTGTAATGTTAGAAATACATGTTTGTATTTCTAACGTTAGAGATTCAACTTAAACGACAACTTTCACCTCAAAACTATTTTTGAATATAAGTATAATTTCATCAAGTTTTAAAAAGGACATATATTTTTTAAATTAAGTATTTGTAAAAAAAAAAAAAAAAAAAAAAGAAAATTTCAGGTGTATGTCAGGATCTTTCAGCCATTTACATACACCTTGGGTCAGACAATGTTTGAAAACTACAGTTAGTCTCTATGGTCTTCATTGCGTCTGTGTACTGACTGAAGCAGGGAAAACCACAGAGATGAACTATTATTTATTTATTCTTTAATCAACCCCTCCCCTTAATCACCTCCACTACATGCGAACACAAATGATTGAAAATAAAAATAATGCGTATTTTTAAATTGTTTTCAGTACTTGCCTTTTTGTTGTTTTAGATTAAATACAAATCACAATTCTAAAACCCCATTAGTTCCAGCAGAGAGGAGTCACATTGAGCAAACTATGTAAGTTTCTGCTCTTGCAGTATAAAAGGTTAAACAGAAAACCAAACCGGCTAAATCAATCAGTCCCTCCCTTAATTACCTCTAGCAAATAGCACACAAGTGTGCGAAAAGGGAAAACCATTTTCTTTATCTCCCAGACACAGAGATGCCAGAGAGTGACTACCTATGTGAACAATGGAGACCCCCTGTAGGGGGTTTGTATATAAAACACCACCTTGTCCCATTAAACTTTGTCATTGTCTCAACATCACGTCTTCTAAAGTAGTGTGGCGGGATTAAGGGCTATAACATTGAAGAGCGCTTTCTTTTAGCTCAAGGGATATTCCAGTGAAATACAGGATAAGTAGTTTATCCCCATAAATAATTTCATTACTCCCCAGATGAGTGGAAAAGCTCTATAAAGTGAATAGCAGCCATACAGTAGCTTCTATAAATTTACTGTGTGCCGCGATCATAGTTACATAGTAATCTAGGTTAAAAAAGACTAAAGTCCAAGAAGTTCAACCTTGAAAACCATTCTTTTATGTTGTTGATCCATAAGAAGGCAAAAAAAAAATCAAATGTACCTATTTTCAACTATGCCACAAAAAGGGAAAAAAACTCCTTCTTGACTTCATAATGGCAATTCGATATCTCCTTGGGTCACAACCTATGTACATATATATCAATTAAATTCTTGAATGTTCAGTTTTTGCAAAGAAAGCACCCAAGTTCTATAGAATCTGATACAACAACCTCTTTAATAAGTGAATTCCTCATTTTTATGGCTCTTACTGTAAAGAATCCTTTCCTCTGCTGTAAGCGAAACACATTTCTTCCAGTCTCAATGGATGACCTCTTGTCTGTAGTATATTCTTGCTAATGAACAGTTTAGCATATAGTAGTTTGTACTGGCCCTGTATACATTTGTTATTTGTGGTGCTATCATATGCCCTTTGAGATGCCTTATTTCTAAAATGCATTTTCTACCACTCCTTCATAATGTTATAATGTTTTCACCCCCCTTATTAATTTTGTAGCTTGCCTCTGCGCTTTCTCTAGTTTCTAGAGACTGTGCATCATCTTCTAAGTGCTTACTCCTAGTTCTACAATATGTGTGGCAGGACCTACATTGTATGTCTAAATATTTCTCTAAAGTCTATATCACTCACCCTGGCTTTTCCTACCTTCTAGCGATTCCAGGGAGCCGGAATAAGCCATTAGTACTTCAGCTGGACCTAGCTGTTTTCTCTGCAACTGATTTTGTCCAGGGTTCAGCGAATGGCCGATCAGAACTTTAACTTGGCTGTATTTCCCAAATTTCTCGAGGATCTGAGCGCTCTTTTGCCAGAATGGGCGCTCAGATGAGACCTTTCCAATAGTATATTGCTTCAGGGTTGTTTTATTAATGCTTACGTTTTTTTTCATGTTAGACGTTTTATATCCAGGAGATAATTTATTTAGCGAGAGGTGACTTTATCTCCCAGACACAGAGATGCCAGAGAGTGACTACCTATGTGAACAATGTAGACCCCCTGTAGGGGGTCTGTATATAAAAGACCACCTTGTTCCATTAAACTTTGTCATTGTCCCAACATCACGTCTTCTAAAGTAGTGTGGAGGGATTAAGGGCTATAACACTGAACAGCACTTTCTTTTAGCTCGAGGGATATTCCAGCGGATACCCAGCCAGGGAATAGGAGTTCTGCTACAATAAGGCCAAAATTAGTGTAGGCAGCTCATAAATTATGGACCCAGCTGGTTTACAGCTGTAGTCAATTTAAATCACTAGTCTATATTTAAATTGTGATTTTTAACCCTTTAAGGACTGGACTGTTTTTGCGATGTACATTTGCGACCAGGCCTCTTTTTACACTTTTGCAGTGTTTGTGTTTAGCTGTAATTTTCCGCTCTCTCATTTACTGTTCCCATGCAAATTATATATTTTTTTTTCAGGACAAAAGGGGTTTTCTTTACATACCATTATTTATATAATCTCATGTAATTTATTTTTAAAAAAATAAAAAAATATGATGAAAAATTGAAAATAATACATGTTTTTTGACTTTTACTTGAAAAATCTTTTACTCATCTACAAAAGCGAATGAAAAGAAATTTCTAAATAGATTCAAAATTTTGTCCTGAGTTTAAAAATACCCAGTGTTTACATGCTTTTTTTTGCAAGTTATAGCGCTATAGGAACAAGTAGGATATTGCGGTTTCAAAACATACATTTTTAAAATTTATCAATAGTGACATTGTAACACTATTATCTGTCATAAATCTCTGAATAAGACCCCACATGTACATATTTTTTTTTTTAAAGTAGACAACCCAGGGTATTCAATATGGGGTATGTCCAGTCTTTTCTAGTAGCCACTTAGTCGAAAACACTGGCCAAAGTTAGCATTCATATTTGTTTGTGTGTGAAAAAAGTAAAAATCTAAATTGAACGCTAATTTTGGCCAGTGTGACTAAGTGGCTACTAAAAAAGACTGGACATACCCCATTTGCAATACTTTGGGTTGTCTTCTTTTGCAAATGGTATGCCATCATGGGGGTAATTCTCATTCCTGGGCTACCATACGCTCTCAAAGGCAACGTAACCAACCTGGCCTTTTTCAATGTAAAAATATTTGACCCATATATTTCACCCTGTAACTTTCAAAAACGCTATAAAACCTGTACATGGGGGGTACCGTTATACTCGGGAGACTTTGCTGAACACAAATATTAGTGTTTCAAAACAGGAAAACGTATCACAACAATTATATCATCAGTAAAAGTGCTGTTTGTGTGTGAAAAATGCAAAAAAAGTCACTTCCACTGACAATATCATCGCTGTGATATGTTTTACTGTTTTGAATCACAAATATTTGTGTTCAGCAAAGTCTCCGAGTAAAACAGTACCCCCCATGTACAGGTTGGAGGGTGTCATAGAAAGTTACAGGGTAAAATATAGTGCTAGCTAGTGATGTCCCGAACTGTTCGCCACGGACTCCAGTCAGCTGACACATTCCAGCCAATCAGCAGTAGACCCTCCCTCCCAGACCCTCCCACCTCCTGGACAGCATCTATTTTGAAGCTGCATTCTTAGTGAGCTGTCCAGGAGGTGGGAGGGTCTGCTGCTGATTGGCTGGAATGTATCAGCTGACTGGAGTCCGCGGCGAACCGTGGCGAACAGTTCGGCACATCACTAGTGCTAGCAAATTAAATTCTCTGGACTTTCGGCTTGGGTTGGCAGGCAGGTCCCTCAAATTGCAATCAATAAAATATTACATAAATACGCACGTAGAATTTAAATTTATATGCATATTTATATATTTGAAGTCTATTTGTATATTTATATAATTATTTATGTAATTTTGTATATGGACATATGTATATTTCGTATTATTTTTATTTATTTATATATACATAGATATATATACAATTTCATTCTAAGTGTATTTGAAATAAATATATATATATTACTATCAAAATACAGTTAGAATAAAATTTCATATAGATATATTTTTTTAATTTTTATTATTATTTTACATGTTTTTATTTAATTTAAATTACTTATTATTTGTATTTTATAATAATATTTATATACAATATATAGTTATATATTATATATTATATATATACTTGTGTAATTTAATTATAAGTGTATTTTTATATTATTATAAAAATACACTTAGTATGACATTATATATATGATATATAGACATATATTATATATGTATATATAATATATGTCTATATATCATATTTATATACACATATATCATTAGTTTTTTATTAACATTAACAGTTATTTTTTTTAAGATTTTACACTAGCAGGGAGACTGCCTGTCAGCACAGACAGTCCCCCTGCAGGCAGACACATGGACACCTGTTGTGACCATGTGATCGCTCTGTTGAACGATCACATGGCCACAGGGGTCCTAATCCACCATGGGGAGACTGTCTGGGCTGCAGGCAGTCTCCCCACAACGGGAGCAACATCGATCGCCGATCGGGTAAGTACATTGGACCGTTAGGACCGTCACCGGTCGGCAATGGAAAAACGCCGATGACAGTCCTGAACCGTCCTCGGTCCTGAAGGGGTTAAACATAAAGACAAATTTTTGCTGGTAATTATGATCTTAAAATTTTGCAACTATTTAAAGATAAATTTCGAATATTAACTTTTCAGATTAGTTCAACAGTTAAAGTAGAACTGACTTTGTAATACAGGTAGTCCTCACTTTACGACTTACGACCAGCTCTGTAGCGCAGGGATTCGAGAGATTACCCACGTTAGAGAGCTGGTCTTTGTTAAGGGAATTTTCCACAAACACAGATTAGAGGGATTCCCTGCTCTGGTGCGTTTGTCTATGTTTGGGAAATTTTCATGCTACAGAACTAATCCAAATTCCATGATGAATAACCTTTGGACTATAATGCATCTTAAATAGAAACAATTTTAGATAGATTTTCTTCCAAAAGCATTTTATTAAAAGATATCCAATTTAATTTAAAAAAATTAAAATCTGATTTTCTCTCTCTTTTTTTTAAAAAAAAAATCATAGATTGGTATCCACCCTTGTAATATGTCACTGTCAGAGTTGGTGCAGGGTAGTAATTTTGAAAATCTTGAGAAGTGACACTCTTTGGGATGCTTTTTTACCCCTCTACATGTCAGATGTGGCCCCTCCAAACATAGAGTTTAGTTATGTTTAATTCAGTGGCGAGTCCTCTCTGCACTCAGGAGACTGTCAGTGAGCATGATCTCCCTTCCTTTTTGGATGAAAATCTAATTGCGCTAATAAAATACAGGGAAGTAAAACATTAGATTCTAAGCTTGTTGTCATCAACTTATTGTTCCTGTACCTATTTGTAATTGTTTAATTTACCCCTTTATAATATTGCCAATAAGTTGGTGTTCCATAAATGCCAATAATAACGCATCCATATGGAAGTTTTCAACAGTGCTCAATTGGACTGAATCAAGCCTTCCTGGCTGCAGTTTGACAGCTGGAGGGTCTTCATAAATCAATTCATAAAAGTGCAGATTTCTCTTGACATAGGCACTTTTTTGAATTGGGACATGTGAGTCCAGACTGCGTGGCAGGAGGAGGGCTGCAAGGTTCGAGGGACGTGAGTCTCCCTCAATGTGCCGCGCGGAGAGGTCGGACTGGACGGCAGGATGTCTGTGTGGCTCGGTGGAGGTAAGTAATGCCGCAGTCTATTTGCTAGGATCATGTAATTAAACTCCAACTTTCTAGGCTTCAGCGCACCAGTCATGTCATTCAATTTAAAGAGGCAATGTCTGCAAACTTTGCAGGCTTTGTAAAGACCCCTGAAAGGGACATTGCTGCTGGGGGTCCGGTGCCTGGGGAGGGCAGACAAAGGTGAGTTCTACTTATCTGAACCTGTCCCTTGCAGGCGCCATCATCATCTTCATCCAGTGGATCCTCTACAGCTCTTGGCAATTCAGCTCCAAGAGCTGACATCACTCATTTACTCTCTCACATAGGTCTATGGAGGATCCTGCAAGACTCTCCAAAGATGAAACCAATTCCCTGCAGCCGTCTAGATGGCGTTAGCTCAACCCAGTCAGGTGTAGGAAATATACTGAGGCACAGTTGTCCCTTTTTTTGACTCGGTATATCTTTTGACTGGGTTGGAATTTCAGTAAAAATCCAACAAAGTCAGGATTAGTATTTCATAAAGATTCTATCTTTGAGGGAGGTGACAGTGCCGCTTTAACACCTCTATCTAGCAATAGCAGGGGGTGTGTGTGTGTGTGTGCTTTTGCCAGTATCATATTTAAGCTTATACTATTAAAATATTACAGAAACAACATAATTAATTAGGAACAAGCAACTGCCTGCAAATCAAATAATCACACACCTTAAACCATATTCAGCTAAAACATGAAACTACCTGCTTTTTGCTAAACATTAGAGTAAAATGATATAAACAAGTGAAAGACATTCTATAAATATAGATTAAATCAGGCACTGCTTTGTAGGTGCATCATTTATAATGGTCCCTGTTATTTGCAGCATTGTCCTATATAGGTATCAATGTGTACAGTAATAAACAATACATAATAATAGCCATGCATGCAGGAGAGAGCTCAGTAATCACCTCTCTCCTCCGCTACCTCTCTACTGCCCAGTCCATCCCCGTACACACGGAACCATGGAGTGGGGAGAGAGAGAGAAGGGGGGACGTTCCTGCCACGTCACTTCCAGTCTGTGGCGCAGCTCGCCGAGACTGAGGCGCTGGGTTGAGATAGGGGACTTTCACAATGACATAATTTCCTGTCTGGTGCGGCTGCCACAAAACGGAAGCGGAGTAGAGACAGGGGACTTTCAAACGACGCCGCAGAGGTTTGGCACAGCCAAGTGGAGAAACGTGCTTCCTGCAGCAGCGCCACGTGGTCCGAAATTACTAATGGGCTTGTTATAAGTTGTAATTGGAATTAGGTGTTTATTTAGACAAAGGTCTATAATTTTGCTTGTTTTTTTCCTAGAAAGAACACAGAGTTTAATATAAGGAAAGAGGTTGCTTGTCAGTAACCTGTGTATTGTGGCATTGTTTTACAATGTGAGACACACATACACATGCATACTGTGAGATGCACAGATATACACACTTCCATACAAAAATATACAGACAAATGCAAACACTGTTAGACACAGACATATATAGATAGATAAATATTTGTATATAAATACTGCCAGGTACACACTAATTCACACAAATACACACTGCCAGATACATCCAGGCACTCACTGATGGCAGCCCTGGATCCAGATACATCCAGGCACTCACTGAAGGCAGCCCTGGAGAAGTCTAATTAAAATGTGAGAAAGAGGGTCTGATGCCAAATTGTGATGGGAGAAAGGAAGGGTGATGTCTAATGGAGACCGGAGAGGGTGGGTGTGATAACTAATGGTGATTGTGATCAACATATGCTTCACCCCTTCCTCTCCCACCACAATTAGACATTGCCTTCTCTCATCATCATTAGCCATCACCACCCTTCCTTTTGCATCACAGTTGGTCATCATCAACTCTCTCCCACCATCATTAATGGGTCAGTCTAAGCAATATTACAACTTCGCATCATTGCAATATTGATGGTGCATAGAGTACAGCTCTGTGAATGGCTTAGATCTGCAATAAGCCAGCCCCACAGATCTCTTAAGTTTCAGCAGTTGGAACTCTCAATACAAACCGTCGCATATCAATGTAGTCTACATTGTGCATATGGCATGTGAGAGCTTAGTCCAAGTTGTCCATGCGGTGGGCATGGACAACTTGGACTAAGCTCTCACTACAGTGCTTGGAGGAAAAAGATGTCCTAACATGTACTCTCTATTTTATTGGTTTTTATTTTGTTAATTTAATTTGTTTTTAAAGGATCACCATAAGCACCAAAACTATTTTCCCCACTTAAAGTAGTTCTGGTTCAGGGACTCTATTCTTTCACTCTCGGTTTTTAGATCTTGTTATCTTTTGAGATTTTGAGCATGAAGCTTCACCTTTCTCCGGCTGTCTGATTGATGTCTGGGTAAGTAAAATCAGTTTTGTCAAACTTGTGTCTGTGATGTCCAAACCACATACACAACTTGAATTGGGCTCTCCTCCACCAAGCTATGCACACAGTCTAGTTCAAAACAGTGAAGTGGACAGTTTATAAAACTCTGCAAGGGATTGTTCGTGGTAAGTATTGTTTTTATTTACATCTGTTTATTTAAAAATATGGAGTTTTGAGGTTTTTTTTAATACAGAAAATTTGTGATTTTGGTCATATTATTTACTTACTGCATTATCTATATCAGGGGTGTCCAACTCAAATTTTCCTGACCACCCCTGGTAGAGGCATCTCATATGGGAGCCGCTGATCTCTACTCACAAATCCATACTTCCAGACACATACACAGATCCGTACTCCTGGACACACTCACAGATCCACATCAACTGACACACAAACGCACACCCAGATGCACAGATAACCACCCCCATTAACACACATATAGGTACACACTCACATATAAACACTCATGGATACACGTAGATGCAGATTCGTACTCCCAGAGACACTCACACATACCTCCATGACTGACACTCACACATACAAGCATGGATAATCATGTACAAACAAATATCAGGGCACCACTCTGCAATGCTGGTCAGTTGGTATGCAGCCAGCAGCTCAATTAAAAGACTGTCAGTTGACTGTAAAGTGTTCGTGTCTAACCAGACAGTCTGGAAATGAACGTGCCGGCAGTTTCCCTCCTACACTATTGGCCACAAGAAGTCTATATAATGCACTAAAAGAAAACATATTTTCCACCTAAAGTTTCTCTTTTACCACCCTCCCCCTTCTATCACTATTTAGCACCACTTTCCCACCCATTGTGTGTTACTCCTGATCTCTCTTACATCACCATCACCTACCGCCCATCTACCAAGTGTTGGAAAGAGAGATTCAGGAAATGCAACCCAGGCAGTGGAAGTTGAAGGTGACTGCTTTATGGTGATGGGAGAGGGAAGTAATGCCAAATAATCATGGGAGAGGGAGGTGCAGATACAACTCAGCATCTCCCTCCTCCATCTCTCCCATCTGCCCATGTAGGAGAGAAAGAGTAAGGCACAGATAGAATATTGTAGGTAGGAATGTAAAACGGTTAACTAGTGGTTTTAAAAATGGAGGGAGTGATCCTTAACCTTTAGATTGTAAGCTCACGGGCAGGGGTTTTTATTTTGTTTGTCTTTTTCTCAATTGTTCAGCGCTGTGGCATTTGTTGGCGCTTCATAAATGCCAGTAATAAATAAATAAATGGTGAGAGGAGCAGGATGGAAACGATAATTCCTGATAGAGAGGATAGAGGGAGGCATGATGCACTATAGTGGTAGGAGAGGGAAAGTTCCTAATGGTGGTGCAGGTGATGCCTAGTGATGAAGTGAGAAGGAGTTTGGGTTATGCCTACTGGTGACTGGAGGCGGTGATAACAAGTGGTGTTGGAAGAGGGTGATTTCTCATGGTGGTGTTTACCATCATCACGAGGCATCACCTCTTCACCATTAGGCATCATCACTCTAACTCCCATCACCATTAGACATCATTAATTTACCACTTTCCTAACACTAATAATAGGCTAGTCTCTCTCTGTCCTACAATTAGCAGCCTAAGCCACCATTCCCACCTCCTCTTGCCATCTACGTAACCATATAGCACTCTCTGTAGGGGAAAGACTGCTTCTAGTTGATGGTCAGGAAACCTCTATCCCTATCAGAGCTCTCTGGGAACAAGTAAGGAACAGACAAATATGATTCCAAACAAGTTCTTCGGTTTATTGATACAACATAATATTTATACAGCAAACGTAGCGAGCAATTGCGTGGGATGGTTTCTAACATCGCTGCATACAGCTTGTCCCGTACGCACATAGGAAATGTTACAACTTTCAAGTTTGTCCCGTAAGCACATACCAGAGATAGTGAGTTACAGTTTCAGCATAAATTTTCAAGCTACAAGCATGGATTAACCCTTCACTCTCCATTACTGAGTTACGTCTGGCATCTTCTAAGCTCATGCGGGTTTTGCTTGCTTCTCACTGTTGCCTGCTGGATAGCGAGCGCACGGGTGGCTCATTTTAACATATTCATCTTCACCTTGCGGTCAGTGGCCGTGCATCTGCATGACTAACACCTGCGGCATGTTAATGGACGCTGGCCGCTGCGGATCCACGGCTAATTATACCCCCACGTCCGCTCACGTGACTAACGACGTTGGGGTCCACGTGACATCATACACGCACTGCGCGCGCACGTTTTGGGGTCAAAGAGCGATCCTGGCCAATCACAAAGGTAAAGCAGGTATAAAAACCTAGAATTACCTTTCCTCATTGCCCTGTCGTGGTTCCCCTAATGCTTGTCCGAGAGCGTGTTCCTGATTCAAGTTTCTTCTGGTTTTTGACTTTGGCTTTGATTTTGACTTCCCTGTTTTTCTGGTATCCCTGACCTCTGGCTTTCCTTTATCGTTGTGAACAGGAGGAGTATGAAGTCTCCTCCATAATTGATTCCAGGTTTTCTCGGGGTACTTTGCAGTACTTAGTGGATTGGAAAGGTTATGGACCAGCCGACCGTTGTTGTGTCCCGGCCTCTGATATACATGCTGGCAGCAAGATTTGCTATATTTTCTCTTAAGCCTGGTCCTGCCCGCCCGGTGGGCGGTCTTCAGGTGGGAGGTAATGTAACATATTCAATCTTACCTTGCGGTCAGCGGGTAATTATACCCCCACGCCGGTTCATGTGACTGATGTCGGCGTGCATGTGACGTCACACACACACTGTGCGCGCACCTTTTGGGGTCAAAGAGCGATCCTGGTCAATCAGAAAGGTAAAGCAGGTATAAAAACCTAGAATTACCTTTCCTCATTGCCCTGTCGTGGTTTCCCTAGTGGTTGTCCAAGAGCGCGTTCCTGATTCAAGTTTCTTCTGGTTTTTGACTTCCCTGTATTTCTGGTATCCCTGACCTCTGGCCTTCCTTTATCGTTGTGTCCCTATCTGTGTCCCCTGACCTCGATTAGCACCCTCACTATTCTTTGGTACGTTAGCCAGCCATTCTAAAGCCCGGTAATACGTTACCTATTAGCAATCTATGTAACACAATCCTACATGCTGGATCATATAGTAATCCTGACACTCATGTGGAGTTAACTGTTGTGCCGTGCAAACCTGCAGCCAGTCCTGCGAGCTGCCACCTGTGGTGGATTCCAAAGGGGAGCATCAGGACAAATGCCCCCGACCCAAGTAGCAATTGTGTGACTTGTTTGCTAGGTAGGACCATGACAGGGACATTTATTCTCTAGCCATCAGCAGTGGCTGACCCAAAGAAACATTCTCACAGAGTGGGGGGGTGTCACTTTAGTTAACTCCTGCTGACAGTCAGGCATTCCCTAGCATCTTGAGTCCACCTGCTGCCATGGACACTTATTGTCTGGCTTTCAGCAAGGGCTGACCAAAGGAATATCCTCACAGGGTGAAGGATAGGCATGTGCATGGGAAAATGTTTCGGTTCGGCATTCCAAAATTCGGGACTTCGGCAATTCGACACTTCGGCAACCTCGGAACTTCGCCACTTCGGAATTTCGGTATCTTCGGAATTTCTGAACTTCTCTTGCAGCCGCTTGGTAGATAACTCCCTAATTCCCACGGTATTAGGGAGTTATCTACCAAAAGGCTGAAAGACAAATTGGTCTTTCAGCCAAATTTACTAATACTAAGTAGGGATT